CTTCGCGGATTTCTTCCATTGGAAATCAATCTACTCGAACAGATTTTACACTCCAATCCTGATTGAAGTGCTCTTTCCAGAAATACCGAATACTGAGTGAAAAATTGTCTGGAAAGCGACCGAAATTATTTGCAGCCAAACTAACATTTTATGTCCAAATAGTTTCCTTCACCAGCTTCCATAACGAACAGAGCTTAGTTTAGAAATCCCCATAACTGCCGATTTGTTCAAGTATTTTTCCGTGTCCAAGTGAAATCTGAGCTCATGAAGCCACGTGTTACTTCTTGTCAATTCGAAAAACTTAGTGCAGCTGAGCGCCTCTAATTCCATGCACTCCTCGTTGAATAAAGTCCTTTACTTTCCACATGGCATCTACCTATGTTTGCCCTAGCTGTGCTTTCATGCATGCTGTTCGTAGTAATTAGTGACTACTCTCTAATTACTCTCAATGTTGTCACTGCTCCAGCAATAAAATCATTCGGGAAATCGCTCCAAGATATCCTCTTTGAGCTCCATGTTCGAATATTGTTGTCACTGGTGTGTGAATTCCACTTTGCTTTTATATGGTTGAATTCGGATCTCTAGCTTTTCATCCTAATTTTACAATAGAATGGAAATGTTAAGGCGATTCATGCAGGCATCATTGCGCCCGACTTGAATAGTTCGTGCCAGGAAGAGGTAGCATACAGTTAGAAGAATGGAAGAGTGCATGATCTTAGATACGCCGACATTTCCGCAATGGCGCCCTGTCTCTGTGTGTGATGAATCGTCTACAGCTCCTATGTCAAGAACAGTATTTCCCACAATTATCAATCCTAGAAAATTTAAGTTCCATTATTAAGACTGAATAATGGTTTCTTTGCACCTTGTTTGATCGCAAAGTTCAACTAAATACGAATTTGTCAAACAGTTGTTGAACTGTACAAGTCTTACCTGAATTTTTTCGCAGTTATAAATCTACCAGCAAATGGCTATCTCTAAGGATAGGGAAACGAATGAAAAACAGAAAAAATATTGCTATGCTCACATATTGTTTCTCTTCTATCTCCTTTTCAAAAACTTTTTTACAGTCGCAGTACCTCAATTTTAATTAGATTTGCTATTGATCATCATGGTCCAATTAACGATAAAATCGAGTAATCGCTTCGAGTTTTAGCGATAATCATAAAAACTATCTCATTTGTTTTTTTTTTGGTAGACCGATGCACCTGTTTTACCATAATTACTGCTATGTATGTCTCTCACAACATATGACTAGAAATTGGATTTTTTTTCAATCTGTAAGGTTAGCTCAAACTGTGGGGAAACTGTATATCGTTGTCGGTTGTCGTTATTCGACTTTCTCTTTCTTATATGAGAAGATAAGAAATCTTTCGAATCGTCTTACAACAACATAAAAGCCACGGTCACCTATCAAAAACATTCTGTTGGTTGACTAACATAGTTTTGTTCTTCCTCTGCGTATTACGTACTGGAATATAATCATTTGTATATGCAGGAATACAGCAAAATTACATTAATTTCAGTTGAAGCGACGACTATTAAAAATGCAGCTTACAAATATGAAATATAAACTTGCCCATCTTGAGCGCACATCGGGTTTCCGGCAGAAACTCTTTTTCTAAAACATATGGCACTTGAGCATCTACAATGAGGCACCCTGCAGAATGATGCTTGATTCAGATTTTTTTTCGATTTCTTGCCATACGAACTTACTCACATGTATTCAATATTCAGTATAGTGGCCCATTTTGGGGTGGAGAGCATGTCCGAGAAATTTTGGCTTGTTTACTAAAGGGCCATTTCTGATCTTTTTTCCAATATCTGCCTCATCTTGTACTTCCGAGCGTCATGTGCTGCGTGGTGCTCATAAGCGCGAAGGTTTCCTTCACTATTTACAAATCGATAATGTAAGGTAGGTGTTTGTTCGTAAGTTCAATAGTGTATCCAAATTTATATCATGTATATTGTTGACGTTCACGCCGTTCAAGTTCGTTTATTATTGCTTTTTACATATTCATTTTTACTCTACATTATGCATATCTATTTTCTACTTCTTAAGGTTGACTAAAAAAATCGTCCACAGATTTAGGTTTTGACCTTTTTTGTTGTTTCTTTTTCAGTTCGAAACCTGTTTCATAAAATCTTTTGCTCCTGTAGTCTCTGCAAATGACTTCAAGTAGTAGCATTGTTCAAATGAGGAACTAAAGATTTTATAGCTCTTTCGTCTTCTCTGCTCAATGCTGTTTTTTCTTCTGATTAAAGGGTGATTAAGGATTGCTTTCGGAACCCTTTTTCTTTCATTGAAACTTCAGCTACTTCAAGTTTCTCATTCAAAATATACCTAGAAAGAAAGGCAAATTATCGGAATTGAAATTGAGGTTCATTTGGGCTTGCAGGAATCATACTCATTTGAAAGATAGAGTATGAGCGGATCTGTAGTGAATTTGATCTTCTTATATGGCTCGACCACATGCTTTACTCAGCATTTCATTTTATTTTCAATTTCTATCTTATCAAAGCTAGGAAAACATAACAGAACAAACAAAACAGTTGTACGATATAATAGAATACATGTTGATTTCTGACGTAGTGTGGCCTTTTTCCACGAATTATAAAGTACTACGTATTTTTTACTTTAACGAAACACCATCACAGATCATTATATTAGGTCATCCCAAAAGTTCTTTCGCACCAAATTCAAAAATTCATAACTTGTTGAATTCTGAACGAATCTGCAAGATCTAAATTTTGTATAAGAGAGGAACTCATGTTCTTTGCAACTGTACTTGAAATGTTCGTTAATGTGTACAAACGAAGGAGATAGAAGCTCAAAACCAAAATTACTCAAAATTTGAATTTTTTGTGTAGGGTCATAAAAATCGGAAACTTGCAACAAAAATCGGAGCAGTCAGTATTGTAGGCTCCTTCACAAGCTTTTTCCAAAAATGCAAAGCTTGCGCAGATTGAGCGTTTCTGTGAAAACTTATGAATTCCCTGAGAAATGCCAAAATAAATCAAATTGGCCCTTTTGTATTGCTTGCTCGAAAATCGTAACTATTCATAGAGACGCTCAATAGGTGCAAACTTTGCACTGTTAGAAAGAGCGGATAGAAGAACCAACAATATCGAATGCTTCGATTTTTGTTGCAAGTTTCCGATTTTTTATGAACCTACCCGAAAGATTCAAATTTTGAGTGATTTTGGTTTTGAGCTTCTATCTCCTTCATTTGTACACAATAACGAACCGTTCAGGGATTTAAGCAAAGAGCATGAGTTTCTCTTTTATATAAAATTTAGGCGTTGTAAATTCGTTGAGAATTCAACTTGTTATGAATTTTTGAATTTGGTGCGAAAGAACTTTCGGGACGACCTAGTACAGGGTGTCCCCAAAAAATGTTAACACTGTTTGATTGTTAATAACTCCCTTGCTCTCATGTCATTCGTTGAGCTTGTGGCACCATTCTGTAGAGCGATGTTCAACTTAGATTTGTAGTATGGAACGAATCACCGAACGCTCTTCATTAGTGTAGAATTACGGTAAGAACTTCCAGCATGTGAAACCGTTGTGAAATATGCCATCTGACAAAATTCTTTCTCAAAAGAATCTGAAAAATCGTGTACTACGGTTTTCGCACACGCTGATTCCACTACACAACTTTCTACGAGTGTTTTCTGCTCTTTTGACGGTGTAGTCACATTTTTGGAACATGCTGTGAAGCCATTTATTATACAGTTTACCTAGGATAACTTTAGAAGCATCATAGTAAAGCGCAAGTTTCATATTTAAAATTAGCGGCTTCCATTACCGCAGTACAAGAGATTTGGCTTGTTTGGCTCTGTTCCGAGGCAGAGAATGACCATTAATGGCCTAAAATCCTTGCCGAATTTCTTACCGTAATCCTACTGTAACGAAGAGCGAACGGTGATTCGATCCATACTAGAAATCTAAGTTGAACCTCGCTCTACAGAATAGTTCTCGACCTCGGCGAAATACGTGAAAGCAAGGGAGTTATTAACGATCAAAGAGTGTTAACACTTTTTTTGGGACACCCTGTATATGAGTGTTCGTCTCACTCCACTCTTATTCTTTGCTAAAATTGCCTATCGTTCCGACAATGTGCAATTGCAAAAGGATGGTAAGTATCTTGCTTTCTTCTTCCTTTTACAACCAGATTGTAAAGAATTACTTTCTCTTACATCTGCCCAGGCTCTAGTATTGGCTTATTCCAAAAATGGGGGGTTGGGGAGTGGAGGAGGCGGGTATTGAATACTTTGACTGGAGTTCTGCAGTATGCTGCCTTGTCAAAAACGCTGTAAATAACAATAGCTCCTGTATCTGTCAAATATATTGCAGGGCTTTCACCCAAAATGAAGAGAAATTCGATCACTTGTCTCATCCTCAGGATTTCTTCTTTTCCGTTGTAAGAAGGATCTGATACTTCAGGTATCACTCAGGATGGCAAAAAATTTTGAGTTTGCTGGTTCTGATAAGCTGTAGCCTAATATTCAACTCACTCATAATACTCATAAATTACTTTCCTCATACAAATCATATTGAATCGTCTAGAGCTTGATCTACTCTTAGTGGGCTTTCTGTAATTTGGAAAATGGTGACAAAGGATGTGACTGGTTTCTGAGTAAAGGTAAAGCAGAACTCTTGCTTTAATCTAGTGTTTACACCTGTTGTCTTGGTACAATAATGGTCTGGTCTAGTTTGGCTCTTCTCCGCAAAAAAGAAATTTTAAGGAATTTCTTGTCCTGTGCCTTCAAGCCACTCACAAAGTACTTAGAGCAGGTTCCTGTGCCTTGACAGGAGTGCCTCATTTTCTTCTACGTTCCATCATTATCGTTCCTTTATCTTGACTATTACGCATAATGGCATCTCGGTGAAATTCCATCTATGATCTGCTCAATCTACTTGCTAGAACGTCTTGTCTCTGGATAACTGTTTTCCTCCGTTCATCAGTATTCACTTATAAAGTTCTTTTTTTTCCAAGATGTGGCACAATCGCGACGCAGGCACGACAAGGAATGGGAGAGCTCTTAGTCTGCCTTCGATAGACGATAAAAGTCAAGGACTTTTGAGAAGAGTAGCCAGCTTGCAGGTGTGTTAAAATTTCGAAAATGAGTCTCTATGTTGTCCTCCTGACTTAATTCGTAGTTAGAGTAATACTGATATTTTTCCGTGTGCGGGCTTGATCTGCAGCGGATGTCTTGAACGCGAGCTAGCGGTTTTAACAACTCATATGAAAATCTCGTAATCTTGCTTCTGTTAGCGCCATGCCAACATCGTGCTAGTGTCGTGCCCAGGTGCACTCGCCCTTATTGATTGACATTGCGGCACGGCACTAGCACGAAGCTGGCATGACACTAACACGAGCAATTTTGGGCACCTTTAATGAAGAAGTAACTCAAAAATGATTGCACTAAATAATGTAAAGTAGTTGCACATTTTCATCATCGTTACCTCCCACATCACTCCCTCCCCCCCCCCCCCCCCCCCTCCCCCACCACCACCCGTATATTTTTCCAGTTCTTTTCATCGTCGTTTCTGATGAGCATTTTTCCGAATAATTATTTTGCTTGTACGAGTGTTTTGTATTGGCTGTATGATCAAGTACCATTTGCTCAGTTCATCGCAAAGAAATTCGAGCCGCTCAATAAGGAGGTCCGTGCTTTTGTGAAGTTGCGGTACAAAGACGTTGCAAAATATACGATATGGCCAGAGTGTCGGTTGGAAGACGGCTGGAACACTAAAGTAGTAAAACCTAATGTAAGCATTTTCTTTTAGTGTTTGATTATATGAGTACGACTAAATTATTTTTTTCTAGATTGAATACTATGAACGCCCACGGCGGGTACCGTCTGGACCTGACCCGAGAACCATTTTGAATAAAGCCGAGCTAGAAGATCATCGTTCACCATATCTCCCTTGCACAATCAATTCTGTGACCAGATCTGATTCAGAAGACTCGAGCAGTGCCGAGTCAGTGCTGGAAATGACTCGTTTATAGCATATTTTGATTTTACAGTAATATAAGAATCATATCGAAAATTTTTATGCGTTTAGGGCTTGATAGGCAGTAGCTAGAGTAGTGAGGAGCTTGGATCTGAATCACTTCCTCATTCACATATTCTCAAAGTATTATCCAAAAGAGGTTATTTCGAGAGCTTTCATGAGTGTGGTTTCCTTTATGATGTCATCTTGAGGATGATTTTCATTTACGTCATCTTAAAGATGACATGTGTTATGCTACTTTACTTGACAGGTGATTCTATACGGGGAACAAGTGAACTTTTACCATATGTATTTAATGAGTGGAATTAATGTGTTTTTTTGCGAATCTGATTTATAAATATTTTTGGTGTCCAGAAACCACCGTAATTGAGTCAGGCTCAACACATGTCTACGAAGACTGGGCTCTTCCTTTTTGTATGCAAAACGAAAATTCTATATATGCAATAAACCGGATGAGACGTACAGGCTCGGCAAATAACTTGCATCGTCGTTTCTATATTTATCTACAAAAAACTAGTTATATGAATTGGGAACCCTTAAACAAGGTGTTTCTCGTTGACAGTGCGGTATGTCAAAAGTTGAGCAAACGCACGGTTTATTACATAGTTCGTCATTTATATACATACTAGAGTCTACCAAAGTAATCCTAAAGTATGACTGAAATGCGAGAGCGAGGTGTTGACCAGTAAGTGCCATCGACGTTAAAGTGGATCTGGAAATATACAAGAGCATCAGTTTCTTTAAAGGTGAAGTAAGCTAGAGAATGCTTGAACGAATTTCGCTTTTTGTCAGACAAAGCTGAATTGAATTTCTCGAAATCCTCAGTACTGTGTTCTCAAAGACACTTATGGCTCTTAGCTTACATAATGAGAATCTCTGGGTTTGATTATAGGCTAATTCCAGAGGAAGGCGGACGCCGCGGGCAGATACTGGATTTGGTGGGTTTGTCAGGCCACACTCCGACGACAGTATATGCTCCATCACCTTCTTTGCGGCCACCTTGCAAGGATAGGGCGTTCGTCTTTAGGACTACATTCATGGATCGAACATTATTGCAAATGCATACTGCTACTGAAGAATTTGAATTTCGAAAAGAAGGAAATAAAACCATTAAGTGTTTACAATGGGATCTCGCTGCGTAAAATTCAGTAAAAGCAAATCAAAATTCTTTTATCTTCCTTATCTATGTCTCAGAATTATGAGCAGGATAGCTTTCTGAGAACTGATGGTATAAGTTTCAGAATTTTACAAGACGAAACCTACCCGTTCTAGCTCGTCAGGTGAAAAATATTCTCCTACATCTGAAGCTTTAAACGAGTTGATCACTAAAGTTCCATTTTTGTTGACATGAGCTTCCGTTTCTGGCATCGCTGGAACATTATCCTAAACAGATGATTAAAGGAAGAAAAAAGCTAAACTGAGCCTATGACCAATATACCTCGTTTATGAAATGGTGACACCGTGCAGCGTTATCTCCTTCCGCGCAATATCTGATAAATTCGCTTCCATTATTCCTGGTACGTCCCCATGTTACGATGTTGGGTCCAAGATCTAGCGATACTGGTTCACCTTCCTAGATTTTGTTTGTTACATGAAAAATTATGGTCAAAAGTATTGAGGAAACCTTAGCCTGGTAGATCATGATCGCAGAAAACGAAGTCTCGGCGATGAACAGTAGAAAAACTAGCTGTATCATCATTTGACGTGATCGAAGACTGGTGCAGATAATACCTGTGAACGAGTTCATCCAGTCAAGCCCAAGTTTGTACAGTCGAGTAGATTTTCCGTATAATATAGTGTGCTTGCACAGAAAGTGAAATGCGGTGAAATTTGCGCGTGAGTAAAAAGCCACGCCAGTGCTGCCGGCATATTGCGCGGGCAAATGACCGGCGTCACAGTCGAAGCTATTTGTTCACGCGAAGATTTCACCGCATTTCACATTCTGTGCAAGCACACTATATCAAGCGCAATATCTACTCGACTGTACAAATCGCATGCGGACTGTATAGATGTGGATTTCGTCAAAGAAGTGACATGAAGAAAGCAGAGAAATTCTGCCAAGTGAGCACAAAATAAAGCTGATGGAATTTTATAACGATGAGGGTGTCTAGAAAACACAGATGCTATTCGGCAAAAACTGTAATGCGTAGAATTACGCTGTCATTAGCAAGTCAGACACAATACCCATTGTTATTATCCCCTAGCGCCTGGTGTAGATTTCGCCAAGGATTGTTTGAATTTTTGAGTAAAGCCAAGATGTTGGTTGACTTCTTAAAAGCTTACAACGTTTCTTTGTTGATAAGTTCGAAACGAAAAGGAGAATATCGCAATGATGAATGAGGCGAAAGCTCTCTTGTAAGTCTATTAAGCTCCAGGCAAAAGTTCTCTTCGAGTCTTTCGAGCTTTTTAGTTCTAACAATGCAGAGTAAGGGTTACTCATTAGTAAAGAATTAAAATTCTCATCTAGATTCATAGTTGGAAGATATTCCCATGTAGATTTTTCCTGTTGTAGAAGATAGAGTGCAGTATCCTTTTTTTTATCAAACAAAACTTACTATAATCAAAACAAGACCATAATTATGAGGAAGAAGAATACAGAATATGGTATGTAAGTGTTTCATTTTGTTTGAAAGGTGTGCAATGCGATTGCCTATGCAATTAGCACATAGAAATGATCATGACTATACACATTTCCATTAGGAGTGATTGTGAAGTTTTTTTTCTCAATTGGTTGATTTGTTCTCGGTCTTGATCTAAATTTTGACTACAGTCAGAAAACGAATAGCTCTGAACAGTTCTATTTTATCGGGTAAACACCACAACTACAAAAATTCAGTAAGTGATGAATAAGGCGATCTCATGAGATTCATTCGAATACTCTAGCAGAAAATATCGCTTTCTTTTGTCAATATCAGAAGTTATCGATTTTTTGAATATTAGGTTTTGTAGTGGATAATATTTTGCAAGGAGGGCAGATGCAACGAACGATCACAAACCAAAACTAGGTAAATCATAAGATTGATGCAAAATTAATGCATGTTCCTTATTCTTAAGCGGTAGAGAAGACGTAAAACTTTCTAAAATATATTACAGATAGAGCAAAGCAAACTTTACAAGATACCGCTTGAATAATCGCAAAAGGTTAGATATGCGTGAAGTATGAGGGAAAAATCTGAAAATGAAACTCAAAAAAATCAGATTCTCGTCTGGAAGGTTCCTTCGACCCCAGCTTGCACAAGCATATACTATACACATGAAATCTTATATATAAAGCTGAATGTTTGTCTGTATGTCTGTCTGTGTGTACGTATGTCCCGAATAGAAAATTCCATTTCTGAACCGATCCGGACCAAACTTGGCACACGTACACTTCGGGCCCCGGCGGGTGTCATAGGCAGAGGTGCGATGGGGGGAGCCGGGCTCACCAAAAGTGAAGGTGGTCCCAGCTACCACTGGCCGGCCAAAAGTGAAGGTGGTAGTGTCGGACACTCAATCCCAAAACCCAGAACGTCGACGGGGGGGGGGGAGGTAGAACGGACGAACAGAGCTATCTTTCTAGGTCGAACTGTGACCCAACGGCCCTCTTCAGGGCCACAGATACCATGAATATCAAAATTATTTATAAATTTTATTTATAAGAATTCAAAATAGACGTGTTTAGAAAATGGTGTATTTGGAAGTAAAAGTTTGTTGGACTGTACGGATTTCATTAAGTAAATTTGTCATAACTGCGAAGGAAGTAGGTCGATCTAGGCAGTAACGGCCGAGAAGCAAAATTTTGAATATTTAAATAGTGAAAAACCATGCGAAATTTCCACTGTTATAAATCTGTTGTTTGAAAATGTCAGCAGTTGCGACTTCATAGGTTTTGAAGAGTAAATGCTGCTCTATCAGACAGTGAAGGAGTCGAGTCGATTTGAGAGATAGTCGTTGAAAACCAGAATTCTAAAAATTTACGCCATTTTTGCGTGTTTTTTGACAGTTGACAGTTAAACTCATATAAATTTTGAATGTGAAAGTGTGTGATGTTGCGACTTCATAGGTTTTATAGAGTAAGGTTTGCCTTATCAGGGTATATCTTAGTCGTTCCGATCCATTGAAACACCTCCGAGATCCAGAGTCTTGAAAAAGCAGGTAAAAAAGCGCTTTTTGAAATTCAACAGCTCATAACTTCTTCAGAACTGCATGAATCATGTTGCGACTTCAAAGGTTAGATTCTTCTCATCAAGAGCTTTCAGATGACATATAATATGTGAAGGTTTAGAGCCTCCTACGAATTATGCCCGTGGGGGAGCCTTTTCATACCAAAGTCTCCCCCCTCCAATACATTAAAGTGGGCTAGGGGGAGACTTTGGTTTGAAAAGGCTCCCCCCACGGGCATAACTCGTAGGAGGCTCTAAACCTTCACATATTATATGTCATCTGAAAGCTCTTGATGAGAAGAATCTAACCTTTGAAGTCGCAACATGATTCATGCAGTTCTGAAGAAGTTATGAGCTGTTGAATTTCAAAAAGCGCTTTTTTACCTGCTTTTTCAAGACTCTGGATCTCGGAGGTGTTTCAATGGTCAGAACGACTAAGATATACCCTGATAAGGCAAACCTTACTCTATAAAACCTTTGAAGTCGCAACATCACACACTTTCACATTCAAGATTTATATGAGTTTAACTGTCAACTGTCAAAAAACACGCAAAAATGGCGTAAATTTTTAGAATTCTGGTTTTCAACGATTATCTCCCAACTCCACTCGATTCTTTCACTAGCTGATAGAGCACCATTTACTTTTTAAAACCTATAAAGTCGCAACTGCTGACATTTTCAAACAACAGATTTATAACAGTGGAAATTTCGCATGGTTTTTCACTATTTGAATATTCAAAATTTTGGTTCTCGGCCGTTACTGCCTGGATCGATCTACTTTCTTTGTTGTACGTTATAACAACATTTGCTCAATAAAATCCGTACAGTTTCGCTAAGTGTTACTTCCAAATACACCATTTACTGAGCACGTTTATTTTAAATATATTTATGCCGCCGTATACATAAATATATGCTTTCAATAATTCTTTTTGCGTTTGTTTTGCTTAATTTCCTTCTTTATCGTCCAGCAAAAAATTTTTTATTCCAAAAGTGAAGGTGGTCACCCTGTACCAGCTCAAAAGTGAAGGTAGGGGGAGAATCGGCTCCCACTATCGCACCTCTGGTCATAGGCTACTTTTCGTCATCGATCGACATCGATTTTTTTGCGGAGTTCAGCTGCGGGGCTGGGAGTTGGCACAGGGGGGTAAGTGAGCATGGGGGATTCCGAATACAATATTAGTTTTCAGAATTATCGATTACTTTTATCGATTTTTTCGATTTTTTTTGTAAAGTTTGACCTGCGGGGCTGGTTTGCACAGGGGGGTAATCGAGCATGCTGATCACGAATACAATATTAGTTTTTAAAATCGTGCATTACTTTTATCGATTTTATCGATTTTTTTTGCAAAGTTTAAGCTACGGGGCTGGGATTTGGCACAGGGGGGTAATCGAGCATGCTGATTACGAATACAGTATTAGTTTTTAAAATCGTGCATTACTTTTATCGATTTTATCGATTTTTTTTTGCAAAGTTTGAGCTACAGGGCTGGGAGTTGGCAAAGGAGGGGCAAGTGGGCATGCTGACTTCGAAAACAACGCAGCGAACGGGAAATGAAGTGTAGAAGTGGGCACAGGGAAATGCTGTACAGGGATAGGGATGGGACCTTTACTACAGTGTTTTCACAGGGCCTGGCGGAGCCGGGTAAGCAAGCTAGTATTTTGTAAAACAAAAATAACCTTGGCGGAAAACATTCACTAGGTGAAGTCTGTTTGCCAAAGGCCATGATTATGAAGTCTTAAAAGTAAATCTAAGCCTAAGAACTTGGGAAGCTATGGGCTAAGAGAGCTTTTGGATATAAAACTTGTCCACTCTGAGGTAAGATATGGCTATGCAACGCGAAGTCCGGCGAACTTCGGCAATGAGATTTTTCACAAATTACGAGCGATGTTGTATACGTTAGCTTATTGCTTATTTTGTGTATGAATTAGAAGTTGAACATAGGTGAAGAATCATTAGAATAAGCCGTATTGTGAAGAAATATGACATGTGAGAATGAAGATATATTTTCAATACCTTACCCCTGCATGCTGAATGCATCAATTGTCGAGGTATTACTCATTTTAGCATTTCCGGGTTGGCAGTATGATTAGTTTTCTTGTGACTAAGCGCATTCTAGCGCAGGCAGAATAATTTTAGTTCAGCCACGCAACATTCGTAAGAGTTCATATGCTTTGAGGCTAAGACGTCAAGCGCACAATAAAACATATCCATCAAGAACTTTTCTTTGCACTCGAAGCAGCGCGCATGCAAAGGGATGAGGATAAAGAAACTCCAATGACCAAGTTCTGTTGGAACAATATAGCTTAAGAGAAAAGGATACCAAGTCGATCTTTGAATTGTGAAGCGCAAATCTGCATTCACTATCTGCCGAGACAGTGTTTTGAGACTACCATTGATGACTGCAAGTCAGCCGTTGGAACTTTATCACAAAGACAGTCATGGTTGCTAAACTGGTAAACGTGACGCCTTCTGGGCAAATGGTAACAGGTTCGAATCCTGCGCCGATCTCTTTCTACGGTATAATAAATGAGGCCACAAGTCTTCTCAATGCTGAACTCAGCCGACTTGAACCCTCCCCTTGAGGCCACTTAGTTGCCGCTCTTATATTCTATTACAATCGTTTACCCAAATTACTCGAGTGCACTTGGGCTGATGAGCATACATGGATCTGAACGAGATACTTGGAAGATGAGAGTACTATAATTTTACCGTAAAACGAGTGAACAAGCATATTAACGTTGAAATGGCATGAACTTTAACAAAGACCGCTAAGAACTCTTCAGTCGCCAAAGAGTGATTCATATATGTAGAAAACATTTTGTGTAAGATTTCCAGGGGACTTAATGGCACAAACGTGAAGTAGTAACGATGTTTACAACCAATAGTTTTGACCTGTAACATATGCGTCCTTCAAGCATTTTTTGCAATCAAGGGAAATCTGGATTTGCTACTGTCGGTCCCATAGGGTCCCATAAATTCTAATCCTCTGTAAGTTGAGCCGGATTTAAGCTACGAACATAGCTAAATGGTTACTGAGCGACTATTCTTAATGAACTTTGCATTATTTGAATTGGAACTTAAGCTGTTTTCAGACTTTTAATGTAAGAATGAGAATTTTATTACCCAAGAATACTTTAACAAATTTATGCACAGAAAAGCTTGCTTGTCAAACTCTCCTCAAAATCCTTCGCATATTCTCAGTTCTTATACATACACGTCCCTCAAGCCATTGCGGAATAAAAGCATCGTAATTGACTGCTTCCAAGCCAGTTCTCTTCCCCTGGTTAGGAAGAATTTGCTGTGATCGCTTAGCCATTATGAACACTGAAATACTTGAGTGCTGGAGTGCGTTTTTGCTTTCTCGAATATATCTTTTTAGCTTCCTATTCGTCTTCGGAGCACTTCAAAGTCTGTCTCAACATATGATCGAATATGGCTAATATTGGTTGTGCTAATTAGCAAAAATATAAGGAATGGCGAATTAGTTTACTTGCTGCAAGTGTTATATTAGAAGGAGGCTTTTATCCTGGCAAATTTAGTTTGTCACAATACCCAAGAAATGGCTAGGAATGATTTTTCAAAAAATTCTTTGAAATCAAACAATACTGGACAAATGATGCGCAAGTAACTCTTAAAAATGTGATTCGTGCACCATACAACACTAAGAATTTGTCGGAAAAAGTAAGAGTTTTTGCAAAAGGTGTGCTTCCAAATGACCTAAGCATATCCACAAAGCCAATGAATACCTTATTAAAAATCCTCGTTGCAGTTACAGAACAATAACTCATGCAAAAGCAGTTGCAATATTATAATGTTCAAATAAATTATTTAAAGCGAAAAATAAAGTCAGTGTGTGTACAACGGAGCAGAAGTCTCTCTTCCCCCCCACCTTTTTTACAAAGAACTCATTTATATTGTTAAGACGTCGCAACAACGGAACAGCCGTCCAAGAATGAGGTGTGCCAAAATAAAGACGCAAATATTTTCATATAAAAGCAGGGATAAGAACTTATGGGTTAAATTGGCAATATAATGCGAAAGCGATGACAGGCAAAAGGCCCCAGGATGTCAACGAGACATAGAGAATAAAAGCTGGATATAACCATCAACAACGAACACGGCGAGTAGCGAGTCGCAACGAGATCCGGTTAAATCTGTAGAAGCTTTAGCCATCTACCCGCGTCAAAGGGTGGGGGAGGGGCAGGCTTGAGTATGATGAAAAAAACCCAAGTGTGTGCGCATTTAACCAAGTCCTAACCTTGCATAGATCAATGGAAACCCTCCGCAGTTCCGCAAGTGTCTGGTTTGAAGTGAAAAAGCTAGAAAATATGAACTCGTTGATTTCCCGAGAAGCTTCAAGTTTTCAGAAATTAAAACTAAAATTTATGAAGGTGAAGGCGCCGGCAGAAAGTTTAACATCATATTTACTGTATTCTCTCGAAGCATAATTAGTTAAGATCATGAGACTCGATTCCAACCTTTAGGAAACCGACACTGTGCCAACTCACAAAGATAAAGTAGATAAGGATGTGTGCACATGTGAACTGAATGTGAGCTTGTATAGGTTTTATATAAGTTTTGTTACACTTTCATCTTCCCTCTCTGGAAAACTCTAGAGAATTTCGGCAAAGTCTCATGTGAGTCTATCCGTTAGCATCATTTTTGCCTTCACGATATGACTTAGAAGAAATATAAAGGCAATCTCTTAAAGCCACTCTCAAATCCCTTTTTCCTTTGATATTCAAAAATCCTTTCATTCTTCTTTTCCATGAGATGGATTTTTTGTGGATTCACGGAAGCATGGGCAGTAAAATGAAAGCAGTGCGGAAGTTCAAGCTCTTCAGTAGCGCAATTTGCAAAATAGCCAAAAATAATTTGGAAAATTCTCAAAAAAATGAGGGAGTTATTTTTTCTGTATGTGAAATGTATACATCGAAAATCCTCAGCCGTTCAAATTTAGAATGAGAAAAGTCGTTTGAAGAACTTATGAAGATTTTTTGCTAAGTGTAACAAAACTTATGTAGCAACCTAATACAACCCTCCAGAAAAAGGGCATCTAAGAGCATTGTCGTACTTTGCAGTTATAAACCTGGTAATAAATTTCAGCTGGAAACAATTGCCTAAATCTCTTAAACAGCTTCTGGTGGAGTTGAAAACTTGGTCGAAGGAGACATTTCGGTAAGAGTATTAATATTCCAGGGAGAATATGTGCGAAATTGAAAAGCGAAATCAAATTTATCACAGCAAGCCTGAAGCGAGATAAATTGGCAGTCCATAATGTCTGTGCAAAATTTCCGCATTCCCCGACACATTACTTCCACTTCAATGATTTGAAATTTTTGCTTATGAGATGTTCATCGAGTTTGTCGCGAACTATTAGTTGATTCTTTGTTGCATACTTTCTTTGATCATTACAGAATTTGTTAGCCATTCTCTGTTGACCCAACTTCATAAAAGAAGTTAATGTGAGCATAATATTTGTCAAACTTAGCACTGGATTGGCCTTGTGCAATGGAAAAGAAAATAAGTTTCGCTACTTTATATGTAGAGGGCAAAAAGGCTCATAGATGATGTCTACAGTAATCTTCAAAGAAAATGTTTGTGGAGTAATCGCGAATGATAGTTAATTGCTGAAATCCCATCACTTTTTCGTCTCCTCATATATGTATCAAGCCAATTCAGCATCCACTCTAGGAATTTTTTAGCATGGAAGCGCTTTTAGCACAAAATATGACAGAGTCGGCACTTTCGTTGAGCTGACGATATCATAGCTGCGATGAATAGACACTTTTGCTATTGTTCTAGTGTTTATAAGCTTTGGTCTGTGTTGTCTCCAGGGCTCGGCATAGGTGGCTTATTTCAAGAAAGCTGAATATTGTTTTTGGGAAAAGAAAAGGGGATATCATTTGTACGTTCGAAATTAGGTTCCTTTTAGACGATTCGGATATTTTGGATAAGGGTTAAAGGGGACTTCGTAAACTTTTGCTAAAGTTGGGGAAGGGGGGGGGTTCGTTTTTTTGCATTTTCGGAAAGTCACCTCGTGCCGAGCCCTTGCCTCTTGTTTTAGTATCTCATTGGCTTTTGCAGATATGAACCCACAAGGAATTTTTCACCGCCGGACTATTACATACAAGTTTTTAGTGGTCTCTAATGTATATTAAGTCCCTGAAAATTTTGGTTGGTTGCTAATTTTCCTTCAGGATTATCCGTGATTTTGTGCTGATATGCGCGTGTCACTTGTTATTGACTGAATATTACAGTTTTTCCTAAGAAAACAAAGGGGTTAAGAGGCAGAAATCGTGGTATATTATTGGTTGAATCCATACTCCTTCTACATGACTACAGCTTACAATCATTTGAAAGTCAAAGTCTGAAGAACAAAAAATGTCTGAATTTTACAACACTTTAGCCAATAGCCAGTGCTTATTTTCAAGAACTGTACAAACGGTTCCGAGAAAACTACTGTTCACTAATAAGTCGATATTTGAAGTTCAGAACTAGGCAGCACACAAATATAAATTGGAGACGCAAGTCTTGCTACAATTCCAGCTCATTGAAATCAGTATGATTGGTGAAGAAAGGGACAGTTTGGATATTTTAACACTTGCAATTAGGCTTGACAAGAAGGGTGCATGGAAAAATTCGATTGTGAGGCTGTAGAATCCAATGTATTTTACGAACAGTAAACCTTTTCAACGAGATCCACTCAGAATGTATAAACCCAAGCAAAAAAAAAATAAAAAATAAAAGGGATAGAACAATAGATTTGCAACACCTTTTTGGCATAGAGTATGCGATTCGAAATACACAACGAGCAATGCAAACGAGAAAAACGACAAAGAATTTAGAGATTTGGGACGTGATCCCGCATGGTTAACAGAACTTTTCGCAAATAAGGGATAGGATTAATGGGTCATGTAAACATAACACCGAAGGAAAGGGCGCAGAACAACAATAGATCTTTAGGAGAGAGTAGAATTTACACATTTTTGCCAACAACGTCACTGAACGAACAAAGAATCCTTTCGTCGACGACTGAAAAACTGAAAAGAAATGGATAGAAAACGATGCCATCAACAATCGTATCATTGTAAACTATCGACATCTACCAGACTTGAGCACGTCCTCCAACATAAAACACGTTTCCCAATAAAGAGGTGATAGCAAAGGCAGTTATACGGGCTGTAAACATACGCGTGATCACCCTGGATTGTTCTTGATTGTTATTGTTTCTCATCATGCTGTAAACTATTCGCGGGTACAAATAATAATTTCAAATTTTGACGTTTGCCACTCGATCTTTTGTGAACGATCACTTCGTTCCACAATTACAAATGTTGCCACTTCTTGCAAAAAGATGCACGTGTGCCCTACATGACGGATGATTCAGCTTGAAGAACGACCAAGATTGTAGCATCATCAATTAGCTTCCTCGTACCATCACTAAACCGCAATAAACAAAAATACATTATCAGAAAACAATGTGATGACACATACACGTTAGAAGTTACTGCTAACTTCAAACATTTTCTAGTAACCCTCTTCCGTTGCACAAAATCGCTGAATGGTGCTTATTTTACTACGACGAAGTTAGTGATCAGTCACAGAAGAGATCTTTTATATCACTGTCTTACAGGTGATACTTGCAAAAGTTCCTATACACTGATATGTTAGATCCAATGGCTCATGTGGTGCCCCTGCGGTGTTCACAACACTTGCGCGTAAATGAATGGCCATGGAGCACAGAGTCTGAATATATGTCTTCTATAAACATCTCACACTCCATACTTCCTCCACTACAGACATGAAAATTTATTTCAGCCGAAAGTGCAGCCAGCATCGTAAAGAAATTATACGAAAAGCCAAATCTAATTTATTGATTCAAGTCGAATCTTGCTTATGTCTGATTATTAGAAAAAATTTTTGTCAAAAGTTTGATCTGAATTTATGGAATTTTTCATGAAAAATATTCCACCTATTCAGTAAAAAATAAGTTGTACAACCTCAAACGCAGGTATTAGCTTTCGAGAATCCACTTTATTTTTCAACTCCTGCACAGCTGTAGCCGCCAAATTATCCACAAACAGTCAGTTCACTTGGTTGTTCTCATTTATCGGTCACTTTGCCTTTTGCCCAAGCGGAATCTTAAAAAGATGTTTTTTAAACGATGACAGCTGCTTACCTGCACCTGCTGATGTGTGCAATTGCACAACAGAGCTGTTTTTGTGAATTGTGAACAGTACCGACAATGCACTACGGAATTGAAACGTGAGAAGTGAAACAAAGTCATTTTACGCTTTTCTGAGGGAAAATGAAGATCGATCTTCTTTCTTATCGTTTCTTTTCTAAACAGACGCTTCTCGAAAATTGAACCAGGTGTGAAGTGATTGATAGCCTTGATTCAAAATGAAGCAAACACAAGCGTCAATTCCGAATAGGCAGAGATGTGGAAGCCTGGTTTTAGGGGAAAGTGGGGACCTGTTGGACTACTAACGTGAGGGAGCGACAGCAAAGTCAACATAACCCTGGCGAGAACTTGAACTCAGAGTGCGTTATTTACTGCTCATCAGAAGGACTGCGTTATTTTCTGCGAAGTTAGAACAATATCTCCTTTGATCATTTCTAACAAGAACACTCGAGCCTTTGAGGTCCTCCATGAATTCGCCATCACTATACCGTTATATTGGAGAAAAAGGTCTTTAGTTCGATTGCAAATTTCGGGGATTCTATCAAACAACATCAAACATTTATTAAGAGCTTGCGCACAAAATTATTACGTGGTTAAAGAAAATGAGATTGTTACAGTAGCTGGCTTCTGGGACACCCTTGTTGTAAGAACTTCTCGCGATTAATATGAAAGTATGAAAGATGATCAGCAATACTGAAAGATCTATGCGTGTTTCGACATCCATAGTCGTCAGACAGGCCGCAGATCTGAAGAATTCTGCCTTATACGTGCTTGCGAATTAGGAATCTGCAAAACATACTCGAAAAGTATCTCCTTTTTCCATTTTGTTGTCGTAGTGGACGAGGTATCTATAAAACAACGGTTGTCGACGATAAAGCGTACCGGTCAGTGTCGTTTGAGGGTCAACCGAGCGAGGGATACTGGTCATCTGGAAAACCCTTGTTTCGGCTATTCGCTAGAAATTCAGTCAAATTTGATGGTTAGTGTAGTTCTCTGCGGTGATGACAACACTGATGCGTGAAAAGTGGCCATGGGGCGCAAAAACTTCATTTGCGTGCACAAACCAACACCGTCGACACTGCAGAGGTCACCAAATTTGCTGAGATATGATTCACTTACGAAGTCATCTCCTTTGACTACTCGATAACGGAATTTCACGTATTTCTCTACGGCCTCAGCGAATGCAACATTTCCAGTACGTGGTTCACCGAACGTGATTAGTCGAAGCTGCAGAGAGGAATGAAAAGTAAGTTTAAAAAAACAGAAAAATAGTGGAGCAATACCAATTTCTTGTCAACGATTTCCTTTCTTGCAAGATATAGAGCCGTCATTGATGCAAGGGAACCACCGAGAGAGTATCCTGTAACCTGAAGGAAGCCACAGCAAGCGAAAATCTCATAGAACTGATGTAAAGTGTTTGTGGTGCAAATTGTGAGTTGTAAAATGAAATGGTTACATTTCTATTAAGTTATTGAAACTTCCTGTTACTGATTTTATCCAAAATTTACATATTGGGCTACTCTCTGTGTCAGCTATGAACTTCCTCGTGGGAACTACCCACCCGCAACGCGGAATCCTGCGTGCGGACCACTTGTCGATGAGAATCTGAATGCTGCTCAAGTCATGCGCGCGCAAACATGGCGGGAAGCTTTGGCGTCGCGATTGCTCTAGCAGAAATAAGAGAGGGTCGAAATGAGTGAGATCGGCAATGAATATTTTTATCCAAAAACCGCTCTAATCATTTGCAGGCTACTTGCAGACAAAGGCTTTATCGTTGCGAAGCGGGCGCTTCGCAACGATCGAGCTCTATCATCTCTGTGGCGCAAATGCAGCTAGAGGCCAATGACCGCTCGCGCACGCCGTTCCGCAAACCTTGCGCCCTCATGCGAAACTAAACCATAAATGATGACGCCCCATATCCAGGATTTCCAAACTTATTTTTTGTAAACATTGCTCTTTATCTACACTTACCCAGACACGATAATTGACGTACTTTTTCTGCAGCTCCTCGAAGTGAGCTTTCATGCCACTCCCGATGAATGTCCTGCAAAACAGATTCATCAGACAAGGTTATATCGTTAGCTTGATCAGTCTACCTGTAAAACGCGTGATGGAAGTAGGAGATCACTCCTGCTTCAGGGTCTTCAAACTTTTCCCAAGCGCCGAACTGCGCTCCAAAACCGTTCAGTATCTCTGCGGCGAACTAGAAAAGATTAGAGCGGCCACGTATATAGGCATGGCTATCTCAAACTTTTCCAGTACCTGCTTGTGCGAGGCGCTATCTCTATAAGCAACATAGAGTGATTTTGCTTCGACTGAAACTGCTAACAGCCCTCTACAAGTGTTTCCGGAGTTGTCACATCCAATGGTAAATGTGCGAACGTAACTGAATGACACACTTCTGCTAAGAGACGGTCTTTTTTGTATTAAATAAGGGGCTGAACCTTATATCCGGTCTCACATTTCGTAAGCAGCTAGCCGGATCATCGTGCTTGAGAGCCAAGATTATGGAGAAGAGGGATCTGCCGAGAGCGTCCGTGTAGCGGCGCCCTTTGGCATTCGAATGCTATAAAAATAGTTTTCCTTTCAAAGTTTCTAACTAAAAATGTTGACTATAGCGGTAATAAGGCAGAAGTTAGTTTCGAAAAATTCTGACTGCTGCGCCTTTCACAAGGACGTTCTTTCCCGACATTTGCAACGCCTTGATGAAGTTATAGGCTGCTGCATGACGAAGGCGAAATATCTTCGGGCACGAACGCGGCTCTATTAGCCGCAGGGCGCACGAGGCGCAGGATTTACAACGGTGAAGACACGCGCGCGCCGAGTTCGCGCCCGCTTAACTAATACTGCTTCTGCGCCTTCGTCGTTCAGTAGCCTCTATTCCTTGCAAGCTCTTCAATTTTCCTCCATATTTCTATGGTATTATAGCTCTATTGAATGAGATGCTACTTACAGTCACGTCTTGCTGATTTTAGTTTTACAATGAATAAGCAATGAATTTGTACAAGTAATCCTAGTAAAATTCTATAAAGCTTGTGAGTGGAGTGATCGCACTGCGTCATATCCTTTGAAGATTGTCGAGATGATAAGCTGTAAAGCCATGACTCAGTCGTTGGGCGTGATTTAAACAAAAGGAACGAGAACTCTCGCAAAAGACTCTTGTCAATCACTGAGCTCTATCAAAGTTTACTTCTGACCGTCTACGATCATGCAACCTTTGATTCTCCATGCTTTGTAAGTGTTATTACTAGGTGGGTGCATAAGTTCGTTCGCCAGATTTGAAAAATTATAGCTTCCTTTCTACTCGATGAATTTGGACTTTTATCCATCTAAAGAGGATAAAGAGGATAAATCATTTTCTTTTCAGCAGTGCCTTTGCCACGAATTGACATAAGAAAGTTCAGTAGTTAAAGTTGAAGAAAACTACTCAAGATTGACATTTTTCAAGCAGGGTCAAAAAAAATGTGGAAGTATTTTTGAATGATAGAGAAAATTGTGCTCATTACTGAAGTACCTTTCTTATGAACTGAAACGAAAGTCGAGAGTTAGAAGCAAATAAAGCGAAGTACTTACACTTATATTATATATTATTATATATAGGCACTTATATTATATATATTATTATATATATTATTATAGTATGGTTAGTTAGTTATATCAGACCTGTCGGCAAAGAAATCACCTAGAATTACAACACAATGCCCAGGTTTCATGAACAGAGAACGTACGAAAATTACTTCAGTTTGCAATTTTTGACATGAAAAGCCTAAAAACGTCACAGTAGAGACCGAAACGGTCACAAACATGGGTTTTGTAACCTTCTCTTTCTAGCTGAGCAAAATTCTTGTTTATCGAGAGCAATTTTGATTTTCTTGAAAAATGCAGACCCGAAAATCGTGAAATATTACGAAATTGAGTAATTTTTTGTTTTTAACTCTCAAACGTTCTTATGCCAACCAATAGCAAAAGTGCTGCTATAAAGTGAATTCCTCTTTCAGATGAGTATAATTTCAAAGAAACCCATTGAGTAGAAAGGAAGTTATGATTTTTTGAAAAACTGGCGAATGAACTTTTGCACCCACTTCATATTTTAGCGGGACGCTAATTAAGCTGACAAGCTGTTTATGGTGCTAGTACTGTAACTATCTAGTGGTCCTGTTACTAGTGAAATCAGTGATTGTTCTTCTGTGGTTGTGGGGAGCCCACCGGTTATCTATCGGCTTTCAGGAAAATGCCGAACACTTCTTGGAATCGTGCTTTCTCGTGTGGAAATTTTGCTTTACGCGCCAGACTGCGTGATTGTATGTATAAAATCAAACTAGAGCCGCTATGACCAAGTAGGACTCAGGTTCAACCCGCACTTGGGCCAGCCAAGCCTCTACCACTCGGGGATGGTAAATTGGTACCAGAGTAAACTGGGAGGAGAAGAGCACTGACCTGGTAATCGTTCCCCCCCCCCCCCCCCCCCACACAGGTCACTGTAAAAGGTTGCACACATTCATCAACCTCTTCGACCATGAAGTAGAGTGCGTTAAAGGCAGTGGAAGCTAAATGAATCCTAGTCTGATTTTGCCAGCGTTAGGTAGCAGACCCCCTCCCCCCAAGTATACTGTAGTCCCATCCTCAGCTTCCGTCCTGCGCTGAGTACTGAAATTGAGCTTCAAATCTCCACCAATGACTCTCACTCAATGTAAGTGGGCGGGGCTGGTGGAGTTTTGATCTACCAAATCTAACTAGGGCCCATTTCGCCGATCCACTGTCTCTAAGCGCATGCCGCCACAGGGTGTTGAAGACGCCAAATTCTTTATCCTTTTATTAATCATTTGCGAGTATACGAGAGTTTCGATGAGTTCTATTCCTAATTCGCAGAGTGTTTAACTTCAGCATTTCATGAATTGTCAGCTGAGCAGATGTCCAACGAAATCAGTCTTTCTTATTCCAATTCGGGCCCAGCTGGCCCAGATGTCGACGCTGCGCCCTCGCGCAGTTTTGAGCTATTCAACTCACGAACTGCTGTTTCGCTCTTTAAGATGAAAACATGCCCAACGTGGCTGTCCTTTCAAACTTTAAACCATTCTATAAACCGACTAATATGCGAATAACGCAGTTACAGTAGTTTCATTCTGAAACTCACATGCGAAGTTTGCTCTTACTGTTATGTCACTCGTCTTGCTGAAATTTGATTCATCTTAATTCTTCCTGAGCGTTTGCGCTTTATTATAATGTTCCACATCACGAACGCAAATCTCGTCTTTGTGAAATTTTCTACTTTTTGCAAGCACACCTCGTTTAAAATTTTTACATCTTCGCCGCAACCGCAGCTCCCACTGAAATGCGCATTCCTAGTGTTTTGTTGTCCTAGTGTACGAACGAACAACGTCTTTGTGTAGCAGTTGGAAACGCTGTCCTTTTCAAGTTCACGCGCCATGCTGAGTATGAGCCCCTTTCGTTCGAAACTTAGCATTTACCAATAAGAGCACAGCTTTTACCGTAAGCCTCTGCATAAGCGCAATCTTGTTTACTTTCCCACTAACTTCGATCATTCTTTCACCATTCAGGGTCGCAAGTCGTAGAGTGAAAATCTTGAAGACGTTCAGTTCGGATGTACTCGTCGCCGTTTTTTTTTTCACTACATCACTTTCGCAAACTCTGATTTTCCGTTATTTTGTGCGCGAGTTATTCACAGGGCTCGGCACAGGTGGCTTACAAGCACGCTGGATATCTTTGGGACGAAAAACAAAGAGGGTTTCGTTTTTTGTGACCGAAGAGAGACGCAAAATTGGCGACTTGGCGACGTTTTTTTTTAGTTGACGTTTCGTTTTTTGGGGGATTTTGGGGAATTTTCCAGGTTTTTAGAGGAAATTTGTTTGAGAGTAAAAGGGGATCTTCGTAAAAATTCCCAAAAGTCAAGGGAGACTTCGTTTTTTTCATTTTCATCTAGCCACCTCGTGCCGAGCCCTGGTTATTCATTCATAGTGCTCCAAGTAGATAGCCCATCACTTATTCTCTTTGACCGCTTTTACATTCCCATTTTTTTTGTGAGTTCTACCGAGTCTACACTATAAAAAGAGTCATTGAACTTTTCCCAAGAGCTTCTCATGCTGATCGTAAGCAGAGATGCTGCAGCTGAATAACAAACGCATACCGTAACCCACGCATGTTTCGGCGGTAGTGCAGCGATCTGATTCAAATGGTACTTTTAGCGCTCCACTCCTCCCCCTTCCTATATTTCGATTTTATTCATTCCAGTACCATCAACGTATCGTTCCCCTTTAGTACGATTTACTCTTGTCGTCAAACGTGAGGAATCGTAATGCCTCTTTATTGACAAATCAGCTTGTACTGAGAACATTTTATCAGTAACATGCTTCTTAAGGGCCGGGCATACTTCAGTCGCGACGCGATTTGGCAACTTCCCAGAAGTCTTCAGATCCAACACTAGCAAACTGCACAAGCACAGTGTTTATAACTTACGTGGGTTGATGAAATGACCTATTTTCTGTACATTTAAAATGTGCTTACAGTGAGGGACAGTTGGAATGTTGCCAAATCGCGTCGCGACTGAAATCGCATGAGGTATGTCCGGCCCTTTAGATGGCGTTTCTATGTAATGATTCAGCGCACAAGATTGAAACTTCAATTTAGTAGGGCAATCCACTCTATCACCACTATCCATCTAATCGCAAGTTGTTAATTAAGATTACTTGCTGACTTTATCTATACTTCATCTAACCCGAACTACTCACTTCCTCGGTTGGATCAGTTTCGTTCCCTGGAAATCTACCATGGCCACCTTTACCTCTTGTGTCATTGGCCCTCTTGAGCAGGAACAAATACAAAACAATTGATTTAAAACATGTCTTAAGCTAGAAGGCTTCTCACCACTTTTTGCCAACTCAGATTCAAGCACCTAGTCCCAATAAAACACCAAGCAAGAGACCGTTAGCTTGTAGGATACAGCCTCAGTAGACGACCGTTCGCAGAACTTTAGTCAATGACTTTTCATTCTTACAAGACTTGCCTTAGATCGCGGCAAACTTTAAGTCAGAATTTTCTTTACTCGCAGTCTCGTGACTGTAATATCACACAGACCATCTTCTTCACATTTTCACACTATCGTTACATTTGCTGTACTGAACGTAATCCTACCTACTCCGTACATTCACTTTTTGCCTTGCTTTTAATAGCTACCGTACGAAAATCAAGGGTGTGTTTACAGATGAGCTTGGGGAAAAGCCCTTATCCAAGCATACAAATGTCCAAGACTGGGTCCTCCGCGTTTCATATGCGCCCTGCTGGGCCGGATCCAGTAGACTCAGGTTAGATTTTTTTGTCCTTGCGTGATTTGTGTCTTCACATACAGCTAACATATTTGGGAGAAGACAATTCCACATGCATTCGCATCTCGATTTCAGTTACACATCCCGACGATACGGATTGCCGTTCCTTAGTCCTTCTTGATTCGTTGGATGGAACAGGGCCGTCTTTCTCTCTCAAAAAGTCATCTATCGACTCCGACTCGATACAAGATACTCATTCTTCGTGCGGCTCATCTACCAGGTTTCAATTTTTATCTTTTTCAGCTTTATTCTATTTTATCAGATTGACTTGTTTTTCAATGCTTTTTCTATGCTGATTAGAAATCTTTCATTACTTCAGAACTACTCAAGGATCCTCTCATGTCTCCAGAATGAGTCCAGCCTCATTTTGCCAAAATCCTGTATGCCACCGAACTTTGAGCCACACGTCTCACTCGCTTCCTCAGCTTCCCATCAAGACCCCAACTGGTTTCACTCACCCGTGCATCAATGATCATCCATGGGCTCAACTAGTTCGTCCTCGTGGACTCCTACTTTGGTCACTTACGGACGATGACGTGACCAACACCATGCCAGCTGAAGATTATCGTCAACTCCCGCCGTCCGGCTATTTTGAATACAACTTCACTAAATGGCTATTTCCACGTGTGGATCCGATACAAGTTGGCAAGTCTGAGCGCATCCCTGTGATGGAACTTCAAACGCTAGAATCCGCTGTGCGCTTTCGCCGGGAAGCCACTCTTATCAGGAAGGAAGTACTGGATGGATCCTACACCTATAGAGAAAATACATGCCCTCCATCACCTATGGGCAAAAACCCAACTCTGATCCTTCCTCAAGCTGTCCATGGTCGTCGTCCGGTGCTCTATCAAGTGGTAGCTACAAACCGTGGAGCAGGGCTTATTTTGGAAGCTAAGGACTTTTTTGTCCCCGGACCGGATCAGAAGGAGCTCCAATGTATCACTCTCGACCAATTCGCTACCAACATCCAGTCCAACACTCGCGGATTCGACAAATCACTCGTTTCCGTTAAGGACTTAGTATGGGTTTGGACCATAGAGCCTACTCCTCAGGCACTAATGGACCCTCGTACGATCCTAAAGCGTGCTCGCTCTCCAAACGTGGATATTTCCGATAACGACCCAATGTTCTTCTTTCGTGTCGCTACATTTGCATTTGTTACGCCAGAAGTTCAGTCGTACAACGTCTTGGGAACAGTTGTACAAGTCTCCAGAAAATGGGGAGAGCCATTAAAAGTTTTCGCAGCATTTGAAGGAGCGCCTGATGCCGTTCAAATGACCCCGGAAATCATGGAATTTCCAATAAATCAAGTATTAGAAGGAGAGATGCTAGTTGCGCGAATGCGAAGCAGTATATCTTCAGCCATTCGCTTTTCTGAACCACCAGTATCAGTAGAGGCTCGCAGAAAACTGTGCGACCTCATCCGTCATACGATGCCTTGTTACCCGAAGGAGGGCATTTTACCGTTAGCCGTGAGTAAGTTCGGAAACATCAACAGGTTGTGGCTCCAGGATCGCCTACACCAATTTGACAGTTTCAACTCTGATCCGAGCTTGGAGCAACATAAGCCTGGCGATCTTGTTTAAGCTGCTTGCTTGGTACTCAAGCCGAAAGTTTTGACAATGATAAGTGACAAGCAATAATGATCATCGATAACACCAAGCACGGTGGGTAGTTGTGCTTTCAAGGTCCAATCCCTTTGCATTTCTTTTCGAATCTATTCTAGGTTTTCTTCATAATAGCCCAGCATGCCCCCAAGTGAGGATAGAAGTAACGTCGCTTTGCCCGAACATTGGATCGACGTCCTACATTGTTCAACGTCAAAGTAACGGTAGGATATCTACATCCGCTTTATAATCTTTTTTTCGATTTACTATCATCGCAACCTGAGTCTGACCAAATTTGGTTAATGGTAGAGATGTAAATTATAGTAGACAATTGAGACGATTTATGTAACCATAAATCACTCTTTTAGGGCACAGCCGGTCAAGTGGAAACCAACAAAAATACTACTAATCTACCAAGCTATCAACTACCGTAACTCTATGCTTTCGAAATACTAGCATACAACTGCCTGCCACATCTCCATTACCTGATACTTATCAATGCTGTCATTGTGTGCTATCAACTATCCTGATAAATTGCTTGCGTAGTACTTGGCCACCCATTCAGTTTTCACGGCGTTGCTTTCGCCGATACGCTGACAGATGTAACACATGATTTTTATAAGTTGTCCCGAAAGTTCTTCGTTTCAATTTAAAGATTTGCAACTTTTTGCCATCTCGACGGATTTGCTTCTTTTTCATCTTAATAGAAAGACGAAGTCTTTTTCTTTGTGAAAGTCCCTCGCTGAGCTTCTACTATGCATTCATTGCAGAGATAACATGGAAAAAGAAGACCACTTAGACTTTGAGCATTTCAAGATAGGTCGCCAAAAACCTGGAAAGCTACAGAAAAATCTGAATTTGCCAGCTAAGTTTCTAACCTATTCTCTGCATCTGAGAAAAAATTGTGCTGGGCTTTGCTGTAAAAAGTTATAATTTTCAAGTTTACAATAGAAAATGCCAAAATTATTCGATCTGTCGTTTTTCTTGAAACTTTTTCTTTGAAACCGTCCAAACAGCGCAGTTTTTTCTCAGTTGCAATGACGACCTAACTTAAAATGCTCAAAGCTCAAATGGTTTTCTTTCTCCATTTTTATCTGTGCAATAAACATAAAGTTGAAGCTTACCGAGACATTTCCACAAAGACGAAACTTTTTCTTTCTAATGAAATTAGAAAGTAGCAAATCCGTTCAGACAGCAAAAAGTAACAAATTTTCAAAAATAAAACAACAGAATTTTCGGAACAACCTAATACAATATCCCTGACTACAGCACCCAATACTTAGTCAGGGTGAACTCGCTGGACTGTTTGAAACTGCTTTCAATACGCCAAATTGCAAAAATGATAATTTTCCGAGCTGGGCATCGTTCATACTTTGCGTGATCACGGTCGCTGCACGATTCGGCATTGGCACGAGTGTTCATTTCTTTGTGAGTGCAATATTTTCAACTAAGAATGGTATCAGCTTAGAATAGCTATGCACCTTTGCCCTCGCGATTTTTAGACGAGATTTTTGGACGCTTGGCGAATTGCCAAATCGCTTGACGACCGCAACGACAATTCTTAAAAAGTAGAATCTGGTGCACTCGCTTGAGGTATGAATCAACCAACTTCCTTTGCCCTTAATCGAAGAAGGATATATGATATCGAACCTAGTATAATAAAAAAAAGGAAATAAAAAAAAAGGAGTATAACTTCGTTTCGATACAAAGTTTGCTATAAATTATCCGACAATTTTCCTTAGCAACAAATTTTGGAAAGAGCATCAAAAATTTTCTCTCTTTGCGCCTACCTTTTTGGGACAGCGAAACGGGTCGTGTTGTACAACAGCTCTTCCTAATGGACATGAAAGTGCGCCCACACACTGCTTTATTTCAACGCACCATCTGTAATGGTAAAAGATGGTCGAGGTAGAGCATGAAAAGAATTTGACACTCAGACAAACTCAGCTTGCCAAAGATTTCCGTAAAATTTTCATTTAAATGCATAACATTTGGCTCATTCCCATAAAGTTACTGGAAAAACTCCGCCATCATCTCTAACAAAAAGAGATGAGTAGTCGGATAGATTTGGTCATTAACGCAGATGATTACACAATTTTGTTATTTAGTATAGCGCACATTCAACCAAATAAATTTATAGCAGAGATATGACATTTCCAAGATCTTTCTACAGAATGGAAAATGTGAAAAACGAGAACAAACGGTTACGTCATCATAAATTATTATAAGTTTCAAAAAAGTAAAAGGAGTGCTAGTCGGGATCGTGAGCGGATATCCACCTGGGATAGGGCACGCGAAAGCGGTGCGCCAGCGGTTATCAGCCTCTAAAGTCTGTACTGCGCGCTCTAGCGACAACAGGTGCGCGATAGCCGTTTTCGCGTCTACTTCGCGGCAATGGATCGTCCGCCTTCGTCCGTGAGTGGCCTTTGAGTGTATCTAAAGTTCAATTACGGCAGAACACACATTCGTCCAGATCCACCAGCCCTTGTTCAGTTTTAGAAACTGATTGAATCAATCACGAACAAAATTTCTCATCAATTTTGAGAGTTTGTCTGAGTGATATTCAACACCTGCAGTATTCACGTAAACCAAATGTGTAAGTGTAGGATTGTGCACACGATGAACAGTCTTTTGCTTCACGGCAGAAGCTTAACATCCCGCATTCACTCAACAGCGGCAATACTGTCAGCAGTGTGAGGGCTACGAGCATCTGAAATGTGATTGCTAGAATCAGTTCAGAGGTTGGAAAAAAGACATAGGACTTTGAGACCAAGGAGCAGGACTGGACACGAGGTGACTTTCTGAAAATGCAAAAAAGACTGACTTTAGCAAAAATTTACGAAGTCTCCTTTGACCCTGAACCTACACGTAAGCCCTCTCCCGCCCCCCCCCCCCCCCCAAAAAACCAAACGCAGACTAAAAAACGTAGCCTAAGTTGTGTTTTTCTGTTGTTTACGAAAACGATATACCCTTTGTTTTTTCTCCCAAAAATGTAACCCACCTTGCTTATAAAGCACCTGTGCCGAGCCCTGCCAAGGAAGAGAGAAATTGCGGAGAGTTTTGCGGAGATATTGTTGATATTTTCAATGACCGTTGCATTTACAAAATGTTAGATAATTAGTTCAACACAGAAGCTCAGTTGGGCCAAATTTGCGATTAGGTTAGTGCAGAACTAAAGAGCATTTTGCGAGTTCTCACTTTGACGTACCATGACTTTCTAAAAGGTACACGTTTTCAGTGCGATAAAGACAATTAGAGGAAGCAAACCTTTTGCGATACAGCGCACATCTACGTATAGTTCATTTATAAAATCGTGACGATGGATTTTATTGCGGACTTTGTGCTCATAGGAGTATAAAACGCTCATACAAGAAGGCATCATCTCCATGTTCAGCTCAGTCACTTCCGGTGTCTAAACATTATCAAACGTCAGCAATAAAACCATTCGACTAGAGATGAAAACCAAGAAAACGTACTCTGCGGAGGTGGCGTGCGTGTCGCGCGCAGTCTCGCCATCGTATGATTTTTCAAATGCCTTATACACTCATATCACAAACAGGCAGAAAATATGGATGATAAAAAAAGTTTTTTTTCTGCCTCGTTTTCAACAAATCATAGCTCCCTTCAAAGTTTGCCTTGTATAAATGATAGATTGCTTCTCCTGTAGCCGCAAGCCAGTACTGAACACCATTTTTTGCAAAAAACTATAGACAGGATGCGCTACCCTCACGCTTACAGAAATAAGCAAAAGTTGGCGATTGGCTTTTGCAAAAGAAATATATGGGGCACAGAATGCCAAAACGAGTGCCCATGTTGAGGCGTCGATATCTCACTTTGGACAACTTCTAAGAATATAGTAAAATATGCATAACGTAGACATCTCACCACATACAGTAGCTGAATTTTCCAAGAAATGCCAGCATTCGCGCTTGAATGTTGGACAGATTTTTTTCGGGTATGTTTGCTTAGAGCTCTGCGAATTTTTAACAAATGAGGGCAAAAGACAGTTTCAACCAGCATTAGTTAGAGCTTGGAAAGCGCTTCCTAAAATTATGCTAAGTCTTTTTTCAAGAATAAAGTTTGATTGGAAAAACTCGTCCTCAAACAAGGCTTAGGACAAGCTCAATAAAACGCCACATAATATTTAGAGTGGTGTGATCAACGCCTCCCCTATATCCTTGCATCTGACATTAGGTAGCAAATTCGAAGGAGTTGCAACCAAGCTCTTTCAATTTTCAAAGTTTCTAGATGATGGTTGACCAAGCTGAGCAAATCTGTAGTTTATGAATGAAACAAATCGGTTTGATCGACTCACTGGGATAGAGTTTTCGTGTAGGGATAGTTAAGTGGAACTTTAAGCTTTGATAGAAAGTACTTTGAATACTTCTGTTATGAACAGCTGTGGGGAGAAGGCTGGACACTGGTGTACCGAGGATTTCCGTTCGAAGGCGGCGCGATTTTCTTTGGATGAAGGTGCGTGGATTTAGCCATGCACTCCAAAAACCTTTTAGGATACTTCCCAGGTTTTTTGCGGAGCTCATTACCACCCCTCCCCCGCCCCTCCGGAAAATCTTTCTAATTTTTTTTTCTTTTTTTTAAATTCTCAATGATTTTTCATGTAGTTTCTGGAAAATCCAGAGCGATCATGGCTCTCACATCATAGTTAAAAGAAGCGTTCAGAAATCATGAGTTTGTTTTCTTCCAATTTAGGGGCGTCTTTGAGAACGGAGACCAAAGTCGGTATAAATGTGGTGGAGACCAGAAAAGCTCATATAGAAGTTGAGCGATTAATGTATCTGCCCGTTTCCAACACTTCCCCCCCCCCCTTTATACTTCCCTCGAGTCATCTCACCACTGTATTCTTCACGGGGTTCATACCGCTTTTGCACTTCATAATTTGGAAAATACGCCAATGTGTCTTTTGTAGAAAATGGCAAACAATCGGCTTGCTTGAAGTGCGCAGCCAGTAACACGTTAACTACGTATTTGTATGCACAAAATGGCATAATTGTGGAAATTCGTTTCCGCGAATAAAGGGAACATACCTACAGTTTGTCTGACGCTAAGCCAACGAGTTGGTCAGTTCTCAAGCCAGAAATCAATGTCGGAGGAGCCAAAAAAACTTACAGACTGCGAACGGCAAAAAACTGGCACGTGATAAGCGATGAACACAGAGAAACATTTTCTAGCCACCATATTCTAGCAAAGTACAGGATGTTTGAGCTTTTTACGTCAGCTGCTTACGAATGCCCTTTAATGTACTGGTAGTCCCAGAAAACGTTCGGCCGGGAAGGAGACACAGGAATAATTTTTTGAGTAAAAAGGCATGACGTTGGCTACGCCCTGCAAAAGACTGGTGTTCCTAAGGTTCTAACAAGTCTATAACTACGGAATTTTGAGAAAATGTGCTTGACAACAACCATTATCCTAAGAAACTCTAGGAAGCCAATTTAGTCCTATGTTTAAACTATCACTCGAATTATTTGTAGTAGAAACGAATCACTTCCACAACATAAACGTGTGGCCAGTTTCAAAATTCTGCGACTAAGATCGCTTGATGGAGAGGTATGAAATGTGTTCCACTTTTATGTGCCACGTAATAATTAAGTTCTTGACACTGTACAAATAAGGCAAAATTGGGTTCAGAACAGGTGGCTTATGAGCAAGTTAGGTAACGTTTTAGTGACAAAAAGCAAAGGGGTAATCATTTTAGTGGTCGAAAAAACACAGCCTAGGTTATGTTTAGTCGATTTTTCAGTCGACGTTTCGTTTTTGAGGGGTTTTTACGGTTAGGGTTTAGGGTCAAAGGGAATTCGTCAGATTTTACGGAAGTTAAGAGAGACTCCTTTTTTGCCTTTTCAGAAAGTTCATGCCGAGCCGTGTTCGGAGCATTCTGGAAGCGGAAATGATCGTTCATGTCTTCACAAAGGAAAACTTGGATCAACTCTTAGTTTTGCGCTTTCCTAGTAAATAAATTTGAGAAATCTCTTAAGCCACCTTACAATAAATTCCTACTTTTGAGGCATTGGGAAACCAGTCATAACAATGTCCTAGAAAGGAGAGGAACTTCCGCTCTACTTCAAGATGATATTTCTTTAACTCTTCCAATGAAAATAAAGAGCATGAATATAGACAGGAACGAAGAAAAGCATCTGTTTTCAAAAATAAGAATAGTCATTTTGAAGATGAAATTAACGGCTGAGACGCTAAACATTATGCTAAACAGGCGTCGCTCAGGCACAATTTTCAAAGTGTATGAATTCGATTTGGTCTAGAAAAAACTAAACAGGATGTGAGTGAAACGAGTAGAAGTAACTACTAGATAGAGCCATGAATGGAGGTATTGAAAGTCTGGAAAACTAGGACAAGAGATTCGATGACCTGGATACTTAGTTTTTTGGAAACATTTGCACTTTTACGTCAGCGATGTGTAGACATTATAACGGGATTGTTACATTTTCCTAATTCAACATGCTGAAGTCGCGCGAACGAGTTTCCAGCGATTTCTGCTTGTCGTAAAATCCTGAGAGTCGATGAGTGCTGGTGGGAATTGAGCTCTTCGTCATAATACTAAAATTAAAACTGCTTCTTAGCGAAGGAACGAAGTTGAGGTGTAGCACTGATTTTATTTTTGATTTGATAAATACTTCTTGCGTACGATGCAAGTATGAAAGTAGTTTGTCCATGAGTCTTGCATCAAAATTATAAAAAGTCCATACTTGTATTACAAAAAACTGATCAGCTTATACTATACACTTTGATTAATCATTTTAGGTGCCATAGTTTATATAACAGAGGTTTCACATATAGATCAGAATAATCAGGACTTCGACAGTTTCTATTATTCTAGAGACACATCAGCACGATTCTTGTTGGAAAAAAGGTGGATAAACAAAACAAAAAATTCTAAACACATAACTGTGCACCCTAACCAGCTTTTGAGCCGGAGTTTTGCTTCAAGCAGTAGCACCGCTTACTCTCTTTGAAATATCAGGTTGGTGCAGATATTTTTTTTCAAAAGTCACCATTTTTGAAGAATCATAACTTCTTGCGTTCTCGACGGATTTGCACAAACTCAACGTTTAGATAGAACAAACCATTTCTTTATAAAATTAGTAAAAATAAAAAAAAGCTGAAGAAGAAAATCATATTTGGTTCGACCCTTCTAATCAGGTTGCTAAAGTTCTAAAAGCTGCGATAACATCCTTAACATGCGGTGATATAGATCTTGTGATCCACCCTTGCAACGATGCAGAGCTTGTATCAAATGGGCACCTCCATGCAGAGTAATGATTTTCAAAAAAAAACCAAAAAAATCAATTTTGCTAATCTGTATTGCTTTATCAAACACCGTAGTTCTTCGCAAAGATGCTCATTTACCACAAACTCTGCACATTTAGATAGGGTGGATTTTGGAATTACACCTCTGCTTGCACCGAGTTTTATCGCAGAGTTTACAATTTTGGCGACCCAAATTAAGGTCGAACCTGAAGTGATTTTATTCTCCTGATTCTCTATGCAAAGCTCAAGCCTGTCAGAAAGCTAGAAAAGAGCGTTACGAAGAAAATGGTTTTCTCAACCTATTGCAAATAAAAGAACCAGCGTAAGGGGAACTTTTATACTCTAGGCTATTATTTCCATTATCTACGAAGAAGAAACTCAGAGAGAATTGACGAAGTCGATCTTCTGTGCTCTCGTGCGACTCTATTTCAACATTGCCTTATTCAGAAAATCAGGTCGTGGAAATTGCTGGCACGGGAACGTCATTCGTATTTGTAAGTAAAAAATGAAAATGGGGAAGAAATGGGGCTAACCCAAATGTTGCATAAAGGGTAATTACAGCAATTTGGATTTCATTTCAAATTCATATTAAGCACAACCTAAATCACCATTACCAGACGAACAATTTTTTGAACTTGTAAGCTTTTTTTCATGTCCCAGATCCATTTTTAGCTTGAAAGAAACATGAGAACTAGATATTTTGAACTTCTTCAATATTTTCAAGAATCAACATAGCACTCTTTGGGAGCCAATTGTCCAAATTTTGAATCAGTGATTTTCTATGTTGAAAATTACTGAGTCGTAATATAATTTCTCAAAACTTACAACATATTTTATTGACAAAATAAGCGAATTATGACTCCTAACAGAGCAAAGCTTCAACAGCTGAACCATCGCGGCTGATCGTCAAAGAGTTATCCGCTCCGAATCGAACACTTCTACTTGCCAAGCCTCATCATTGCCCGCTTATCAAAATGCATCGTCGCCCGTTTACCCAAACGCATCATCGCCCTTTTTTCCATCGTTATTGGCCTGAAAAAAAATCACTGATGTATTGTATTATAAGGTATTAAGTTTGCAAGTACAAAGCTCAAAAAATCACTCGCAGGTTTTGACAATGCCACCGAACTCGTGAAAAATCCAATGAAGATCCAAGTCTAGTGTTTGCAAACCTCGCTGCTAAAGAGCAAAAGCAAATTTCAGGATTGCCTCACATTTACTTTGAGGCACATTCTTTTTTTTGTAAATGAGTTCCTACACGCGGCGATAAAATTCTCTTTGGATTTTCTTAGGTAAACTTTGTCAACCAAAAGGACTAGTGAAATATTAGGTCGTTCCGAAAGTAATGTCGCTTTTTTTAAATTGAACGCTACATTTCGTGGAAGCAAGGTTTTTGGTAGCATTCGATGCAGCATTGCATCCTCTTTCCAAAGGCTATGATTCAACTGCAGAATACTCGTTGAGCTTTTGAAAAAATACTAAAATCTCCAACCCATGCTTTTTGGGAAGGTCAAGTTTCACAATTTTTCTAATTTTTTGTAATAATTCCCGGAAGGAGTCCAATTAATGGATGGATAGAGCAAACCCTATAGGATACGGTGCCATTTTTGTTCTGCTCTCCGTATCACGTCATAATTTTTGCAGAGATTTTTCAATGAAGTCACCGAATTTTTGCAGGATTGTCTCAAACACATATGCATCAAACACCAATAAACTTTCGGATTCTGAAACTTACAAAGGTGGATTATGGTTTAACACTAATTTTACAAAGCATATGAGCATTTAGCGCTTCAGATTAGCAACTTTCGGAAATTGGCGATACAGCCTGGGGCGCTCTGAAAAACCTGAATTATGATGATTTCTTCCGGAAAACTTTATGAATCGGAAACCAAAAACAACTGGTAAAAAGAGGAGAAAAAGCTGCGTTGAATAACACCCGAGTTGCTTGCCGGTTGTTGTTCTGTGAGGTCTGAGTTGACCAAATATGGAATTTGACAGCATCGAAAAATTGGTTCTACGAACTCTAAGAAGCAAACTAAGGAAAAGAAAAAAATTGTTTTGTGTCCTATAGGGTTTGCTCTATTTATCTGCTATTTGTACATCTTCGGGGAATCAGTACAAAAATATAGAAAAATAGCCGAACTTGACCATGACAAAAAGCATGAGTCGCAGGTTTTGGTAATTTTTTGAGAGCTCATTGAATATTATGCAATGAGATTACAACCGTTAGAAAAAGGACAAAATTCTGCATCGAATATATCCAAGAGCTCTTGAAAACCTTGGTTCCACGAATTTTGGCGTTCATTTGAAAGAAGCGACATTACTTTCGGAACGATCTAATACATAGAGCATATTGGGATGACTTTTGACTATTGTTCTAGCAAAAAATCAATAGTTTTCGGATTGGATTCAAAGGTATAAACTTTGTTGTAAGCTGCGCGGGTTTGTTATAATGTTTATTCGGTCTGCGTTTTGGCAATAATGCCTTCCACAGAACCTGACCATATTACCAAAAAAGTCCAAAGTGTTTTTTAAGAAAGCCGAGGAGATACCTTGTTCACTACACTCTTACATGCCACACTGGGGAATCTTAACCAGTAAAAATCAATTAAATTTATGTGGCCATTTATGGTTTATCTTCAAAAAAGACTACAAATGCTTTCAATTACTCGAAGGCCCGAAGAACGGAAAATATAACTGCATTTTCATAATTCATTATGCTCTTTCACAGAAGGAAGTATGGCACGATTTTTGCTGGTACACATGGAATTTTTAATAGCCCATGTGCATATTACAAATTCTCTTTATGTCTCCTTTAGGTTAGGTTTTTTTGCACACCTCGTGGTCGCTTCGTTAAGCGATTTGGCTATTCGCCAACGGTCTTCAGAACCGAACGCGGACTATAAGTGCTACTAGTGCTCACTGCGCATAGCTCATGAACTGGCACCATCTTTTGAACCCAACTTTCTAATGAATCTTTTTACACGTATTCATGAACTGAAACTGTCTAGGTAGCTCAATATACTCAAAGTCAATAATTGACAACAACAGATTTTTTTTTGACATAAACAATCCACAGACTACAACGCTTCAGCGAGCAAGTGGCTACACTAACTTCCTAATCGCTGCGCTATAACTCCGAAAAAAAAAATATCAGCAGACAACTGCTCCTGCATATGATACCTAAGCTATTCACGTAGCTTACTAGTCCTTTACCTCGTAAATGCTAAGAGGTTGAAACATTTCGATAAGTGAAGGCGTCAAACCTAGATCCAAAGGTAAAGCACTCAAAGTCTCCTGCCTTTATGACGTGGGATACTTTTCTAAACAAAATCTGCTCTCGTATTTTCATCATAATGGTCTTCAGTTGAGTATGAAAGTATATCCTCCTTGACCGATAAGAGTTTTATAGACCTACAGCAAAAGCAATAAAAACTTACGCTTTCCAAGATTGTGGAATTTGGACTTCTAGCACATCCCATGGAGAAATTTCACTATCTAAACACATTTTTCAGTTCTCAAATTACATTCAATATAAGAAAACTTACCATACGTCTGTTGCTTGAGATAATGTCCTGAAGTAGTCAAAACAAGTGAAGATAAAATCAAGCAACAGAGGCATGTGAATGCTCTCATGTAGATAGATTTGAGTGCCATTACCTAAACAAATCGGGCATATAACATGATGGTTTTTAGTTATGATGAAAAAATAACACGAAGATCAAGAATTTGGGCAGAAGTACTGAAAAGGCAGTTATTAGGAAAGTATAACATCTTGTGAGCCACCTAGATCGACGTCTTTGCAGTCAGAATCATCATAGTGCATGCAAAGCGGAAATGGCCCTAAAGTAGATGAAAATGGGGCACTATTCAAAGCTTTCATGCTTCAGATAACTTTTTAAGGAAACAAATGACAATGTAGAAATGTCTTAGACGAACTTCCATCTACAAAGAACGTAACGTTAGCCAAAATGATGCGATGAGTATAAACAACGTAGCAATTGACATGTAAGACGTGACCAGTGGACGAGAATCATTGGAATTAGAATGTGATCCAAGTCGTCATAGCCTTGCATATGTGGGCGGTAGTTTTGTCAACATTACTTAAGTACACGATCGGAGTACTAAAATGTTTTCGAAGTAAGCTGAACTGACCAAACGGCAAGCTAGATTTTTGGTTGGTGAGAAAATTGAAGCAAAATCTTTTGGGGTAATGTGCCCAGAAGGATTTTTAATGCTCTTTATGAGAACGTTGTTTGCAAAGTCACAGAAATGTTACTTGTAGCCTATGGAGATACTCATTACATATTATTGATATTATATGAATTTGTTGTAGAGATTTGAAGTTCTGTGCTTGAATGCAATATGATAGCTACGCTAAGTTGAAATATTCAAGCCTCACCTTTATCTGTTTTACAGAACATCTTACTCATTTTGTGTGAGAGCTCTAATGCTCAGATTTTGGCTAAGACGTAATTGAAAAACTAAGAATTCCATTGCATAATTAACCAGGGTGTCTTCCAATAATAAGCATGTTTTTCCTCGAACAAATATGTCGTCATTTATAGGTTATTTCTCTGCCCTGTTCCTATTGTTATGAAATGGTTATTCTGTACTACATCATTAGAGAGGAGAGCAGTAATCACAAAATTTTGTGAACTTCAATCAACCAAACAGTTGATCTCGTAGGATTCGCTCTGATTAATCTGTCCGTATGTCATTTGGTTTTTGAAATGCTTGAAATATCAGCTCATTTGTGTTGGTTGCATGATGTGTATAGCGGGTAAGCATTACAAGAATTTTTGAAAGAGACACATTTATCGTAATCATTCCTTCTCGGTAATGACCACCTAAAAAATAAGAAGAAAGAAAACAAATGACGCAATTTGTATCTGATTTGTTTGGAAACAGCACTGATCAATGAATGGCAGCATTCAATGTAAAATTAAGCAATTTATAATCGTTGTTTCTTCCGAGTATAATCAGCCAAAAACAGAGCGAATACTCGGCAAGTTCAATGAATGCGAGAGTGTGCTCCTAGTTTCTTCCATTTATGGCACATAAAGCCTTCCACAAGCTCATAATGCCATGTCATCCAGTTCTTCGTATGGACTTCAGAAATTAATTACGCATTAATGCGGTACAGTCGTTACCGCACATATGTTACTACAGAAACTTCGTAAACGCATAGGGCTGGCTACCTGATCCCTCTGATAGATCTGGTTTCAAACGGTTCAAAAACACATTGTTTAGTTGCTTGCCAAATTCCTGTAGTGAAGGCAGATTACGGCTGTCATCTCACTACCGATGTATACTTGATATCAGCGTCCAAACGAATTGTAAGCCCCTATTAGCACCTAGTTTGAGAATAGACCTCAAAAGAGGGGCATCTGCTTGGTCCGGTTTTCCAATGTTTCTCTGGATGGCGAAAATGGGCCTGGAACTCGCAAAATTGCTATCAAGCCACACCCACTCTATCAAGCTCCGCTTACCCAAGTAGTGAAAGCCGTCTGTGCTCGGGACCAGGGCCCGACACAGCGTCTGGAAGCAGGCTGGACTTCATTGTTGGAGCAAAACCAAAGGAGATATCGTTTTTGACGAGTCGGGGCCAAACACCAAATAAGCGCCACTTAGTCGAACGCAAGCTTTCTGGACGGGTTAACACATGATCGATATGCTCTATCGTGTATGGCGAAAAATGCGCGCGATTTAAAAGCAAGGCTAAATTAAACAAATTGCTTCACAGCGCACACAGAATCACATGACAACAAATTTGAATTGTTTACATGGAAAATTTGCAGAATCGTGTAAAAAGATTTGAACACTTATGTGGAGTATTACCTTCTCCAAAAGTAGTCGGTCTCCAGACGGTCACCAGACGATCTGAGATCGTCTGGAGCATATATTTCTGCCACTTCACATAAGTTTTGAATTTTTCTATCATGGACGGATTCCCCGGTCAAAAATCGGTCCCTGAGCATGAAGACATTTTCATATCGTTGCCTTTCCTTTGTTTTTTCCACAATTTCTTCACGAACTGCTTGGTAAATATCGCGCTCCAATCAAGCTCTTGTGCATGCGTAGTATTCAGCTCCAATTTGATTTTCATTCTCATCTCACGTTTTTTCTTCCAAATTAGTAAATCTTTCTTGTTTCATCTTCTCCTAAGTGAGTAGGTCAAAGGGGACTTCGTAAAACTTCCGAAAGACAGGGAGACTTCGTTTATAAAAATCCCAGAAACCGACTCGTGCTCTGCTAGGGATAGGGATACCACAAACCGGTTTTTTGGGAGTTTTGCACATTTTGCACTTCATAACTGTGGTCAGGAGTACTGAAATGTTCCAGAATGACAATAAACATGGAAAGCGAAATTTGAAGTGGACGCTGTAATGATGAAAAGAGCCCCTTTACTATCCAAGTAGAGTAAATACTGTCTTACAATCTATTTGATTGCATCACTTTTTACATAACTGCAATTTGTTATTCGAAAGCAGGCTTTTGAAAATTTTCAAATTTTAGAATAAGACCTAATTTTTCGACAGCACACATAAATCTCGAGAAACTGCTGGGTATGTACTGGTTCTTTTTGGTTTTGATTACGATTATCAATCGCGCTGTTAGAGCTTCAAACAATTAGTGCAGCTCATCTACGCAATGTCAACCTAGCAAAATTATTTGAAACTGCTAGTTGTATCCTGGAGCACAAATCCAATAAATTGGAACAGAACAACTAGCATTTTGGAACCAGGTTCGACCTAATCGCACGAAAATCAGAAACTTTTCGATGTAAGAACCCGTTTTTTGAAGTACATATCACAAAGTAGGTAACCTAAAGTGAAGTTAGCCACAGGATTCTTTGAGACTTACTTGCGACCTGTATAGATTTTTTCATTTTCTTCGCATTTTTATCATCAGTGATATGACATGACGGCCCATGTGACTCACAACTCTGACTGTTTCCAGCGGATCAGTAACAGGAGCTAAAAGGACATCCTAGTCATTAATTCTACATCATAGTACTTTGGGTATTGATAGCGATTTTTGTCTAGCTCATTGTGCATTATGGTCATGCACCAAATAAACGAATAAATAAATGTTGTCTTCCAATGTCGCTTGTTTTGCTAAGCAGCGCTTGATAAAATGCTCTTTAGCCATATGTGAATTTAAAATTTTTGTCAATTTGCATGATAACGCATTTGAAAACTAAGCTCCAGGCCTTATTGAGATTGAATTATTGTTTCTGAATTGAAGTTGTAAGTTTGAAGATCGGCACGGGTTGAAAGCAAGGAGTTTTTGAAAACGAGCAATCCTTTGTTGCGCAAAATTGAGTCGCTTTGTTTTCTTTACTGGCACTTCACTACTTTTTATTTCTTTTTTGTGGTCTTCGGCTGTCGCTCAAACCTAGACAACTTGGTAGATAACGAATATTCGTCACTTCTCTCTTCCTTCTCATTATTCCATGGAAGCGCCCTCGCGACCGAAGCAATACCACAAACGACCGAAGCAATACCACAAAGAACAATTTTTAAGGGCCATGAAAAGGCGTCGAGGAAGGAATATAAATTTGTTTTGTGCTAATATCAGACATGCAGAGACGATTTCTGAAATAAAATCATGAAAATCATTTGAGCAAACGTCCGGGTTCAGTTGAGCTGGAACCCAGCTGGAACGGTTCCATCTAACTCAGTAAGTTGAACACGGCCTTTAATCACGTGAGTTTCATAAATTTCCCAGCCATTGTTTCAGTTCCCTCATGCGCATGTGCACTCCAAATTTGGTGTCATATCATTGCATTTTATTCTAAACAAGAAATTTGTTTGTTTGGGGCAAAATTACGTTATTCCGCGCTGTGCGCGTGTTGGAGCGTGTAAGTAATGACGTTTTGGCTTGTCTGCATCGGTGAGGATGTTTGGATGGACAGTTTCTATTTGAGTATGATTGTTTGAGTCTGATTTAGTACGTGTTTCAGTGATGCTTACTTGCTATCGGATAAAATCAGCCAAGAGTGTATGGTTACTGTGTAGCTGTAGGAAGTATTCGTGCTAAGTTTCGCATTTTATGTAAAGGGGCATCTACTACACCTCGAATAGAGTTGTTTGCAGAAACAACTCAGATGGAATTTATTGTTTGTCTCTCATAACCATAGTAAACATAAACGTCTCCGATACTGATATGATTAATGAGATGCCAAGACCTAACGCGAGAAGAACGAAAAGTCCCTTGACGTGATCTACTCCAAGCGCTCGTCGGTCTTCAACCGTTTCCGTTTCACATTGTCTGGAATGAAATGATAAAAAATTGCTCAAAATTTCATCATTTTGCAAAGGTGTGGGAGGGAGAAGAGGGGTTGAAATGGTAAACGGGTGGTCGTCACTTACTGCTGATTCTTCTTCCACCATGTCTCCTTCATCATCATAATTATACCTTTTTCATTCAGATCCAAAATTTGTCTAGTTAGCTTCTCTCTCCACTTTGATCCTGAAAAAACGTAGCCTTTCATTTTGGAATTTGTAAATGAGATCAAGATTTCATACCTTTTGGCAGTGCGATGCTGTAACCGTTGGATCCAAGGACAACGTTACCAACTCGCGTAAGATTACAGTTCTGGGTTACCTGATAGTCCAGTGTGGCAGATTCCATTAGGAAAACATATCTACAATGCATACCTACAATATCTACAATCTAAGTCCTGAACTCTCACAGTGACCCTTACAGTGAGTACTTTTACCTAGTATTTAAAGGTAAAAAGGGAAGAAAACGTTCATACTGATAATAAAAGAAAAATCTGCAATTGCGGACACTTGGGAATAGAGTGAGTTCAGTGATTTTCAGCGAAAAAGCTAGTTTTCTTCATATTCAAATACTTTGATGCCCTCGTTCCTACATTATGATAACCGGACTTTTTTTCAATATCAGCCTGTGGGAACTCACAACATTACTCTAGAATCAGTGGAAGACAGTAATACTGACACGCGAATTTAGGTCTACGCTGAGCTGTTGGATATTTGTGAGGTGCTTGAATGAGTGATTTCTCTGTAAGGTTAATAAATATATTTATTTACCACATTTGCAACCCTCATTTAAGAAGTAGTTCTTGAAAAACTGCTCCTGACCGCAAGCTTACTATGACTGGTCCAGAGTTACCAATGTGCCAGCGCCGGCGCCATATGTACTAACGCTCACATGGATGTGCGCCCCGTATATTGATCGATCGACGGCGCTAGAACGACACTGGCACGGGCAACTCTGAACGCGGCTTAATTAACGCCAACAGATTTCAGATCCCCGTTTAGTGCTCGTAGATTACACTTGCACTTAGAAATTCAGAAGACTGAGAAATGCTTCTCACTTTTCTTTGAGTGCCCTGCGAACACCGCTTTCGTTTTTGTCCACGAACGCTGTCGGAGTTTGATTCTGCATCGACTCCCACAATCTGCGGAACGTCTCAATTCGGGAGTACTTGAAGAATTGCATGGTAGAGCCACCCAGAATTGCTCCGAACTTGTAGTCTGACTGATTGCCAAGCTCTTCAAAGCTCTAAAATTGATTACATATTCACCCTGTCCTTTAGCTTGAGTGTCCCTGAATATTGTACTAATTCGATAAATGCACAATTTACATTGAATGGCATGCTTTTTCTGTCGACAGTAAGCACAGCTGCAAAATTGGCGGTGTACTGAGCGAACAGGACGAGTGTGAACATCCACCAAATTGCAGAAAGAAACCTAAAACTTACATATTAAATCTCGCCATTCCCTCCCCCTCTCAACCAAACAAACCTTGCAGCTGCTGACTGACAATTGTAACCAGAGCCAGCTCTCAGAAGAATGCATACTAGATACCACAAAGAGTTGAGCAGACTAAATTCGGTTGGGCATTCGCTTGGTGAAAGTACGGCGATTACGGTAAGAAGCATTGCTGTTGCGAATGTTGCAGTGGCTGAGAAGGTCCAAACGCTAAAAAAGACCTCATTGTCAAATGCTACAGTACCATTACCGTACTAAAGAAAAGCAACGCGTAACTGGCCGACAGCGGCCATAGAAAACTAGTCAATGTTGACGATGTCTTTTGATTGGGTTGACGCATCAACATGGAGATACCCAGCTGTAAAAATGGATCCGTAAAATCAACGACTTCCAGTCGCCTTGCTGTTACAGTAATCGGTCCCACTGCCATATCTGCTTCCTGAAACGAAATGGTTTGGAATGGTGCGACAAAATGATCTTGTATCGCACCCCTCGCAAGATTTCTCCGATCATACCATCCCATTCGCTGGAGTTATTGGAGACTGGCTCGCCGTACTTGCCATCCTTTACAATGGAGATTTCATATGAAATATGTAAGGATGATGCTAGTCTGTCAAGCAAATCCACACAGAAGCCTTCGTAAACCACCTGAAAATAGATTTTTATAGAAAAAAGCCGTGGTTACTACTCTATTTTCGGGTGTGTAAGCCGCACCCTTTTTGCTCTAAACGCGAGCAGACCCAGGCGTGCTGCCGCGCATATGTCTCGCGAAGCGGTCGCCTTATCGCATACTGCTCTCACTTAATGCGCTCCATGATGACAGTCAGTCTTTTGGCGTGTTCGCCGGGTGGCGAGCAAGAGAAACGATAGCTGGTGGGTGTCAGTAACTCGCGCATACTTCGCCGTCATTTTTGTCCATCTGCACACAGAAATGCAGAACATTTCCCTCTTTTATGCTTTCATCTAGACAGGAGAATTGTGTAGATTGTGTTTACTTGAAAGTGGGGTGTAAAAATCAGCTGAAAATGTCAAAAAAAGATCTCAAAGGTGAAACTTCAAGTATTTTAAGCTTATTCCTACAAGAACACCACCGAATTGCACATACCACCGGGATCGAAGCAAGACTTATTAAGTAAGTTGAGTAGAGCATTAATTTTATATCTACTATTTTTTTAAGTTCGCAATCTGCGAATGTGAAGGCAAATAGTGCATTGGCACCAGTGGCTGGCAATTGCTATCGTTCCTCTTGCACCACACCCGTGTTCGCCTTTAGAGTGAAAAGGGTGCGGCCTGAAAATAGGGAATAGAATACTGCCCATGTCTCCACAATAACATATTGATTGATATTATGAAAGTTTGATATAAAATGAAAGGATCCTTTCTTCCTCTTTCATTCGGCATATAACTCTCTGTTCATCCAATGAATTTATTGACTTGAAAATGGTCGTTTTGAGAGAAGGTATCGTTCGACTTTGTCGAGTGGAAAATAGCAAAGCGACATCGGTTGTGGTATGGCCACAAGCCAGCTATCTCTGAAGCTCATTAATTCTGAAAGTGGGACGCAAGGCAAATCAGATGACACTCTTCAAAGATTATTTTATCTGCTCATATTCAATTGTTGAGTTTTTTTTATCTCAGAGTCCTGTAAATAATAATGTGCACTCCTTTTAACAAGTACTTTTAACACTAACCCGAATAAACTACAAATGTGCTTTCATATTCAATTTGTCAACGTAAATTTATTGATGCATTATAGTGTATCTCTTTGACACGTGAAACGCTTTGCATACATAATCCACTATCAGTGACTCCAACTTAAGAACTGTACTCTGTCCTTCAGAAGGACAGAGTACGGAAATTAGAACAGCGAAATTGTCTTGTCGTAGTTTCACAACGAAAAAACTGCACTTCCTAAGAATTTTTTCCGCAGTTTCAATAAAGCAGAAGAGAAACAGTTTTTCAATACATAATGACTCCCATGGGCACATTTCAGCAATGCAGCAGTATATCTAACAAGTTTTGCACATATCACAAATTCGACCTTGAAACATGGATGCTAAAAATGCGATTTTTTGTGTAAAGTTGCTGGGCGATCAATCTGGATTTTACTCCGCGCATTTGGAAAACCTATTAGAAGAGATTTTCCTGCTCTTTCTGTTGCCTGTTGAACCTAAATGAACTACTGAACTAAACTTACTCGTTATTATGAGGAAACGTTGCTACGTTGAAATCGTAGTTTTCGAAGAAGAAATTATGACAATGGAAATCTCGCTCCCTCCCTTGCTTTTTTCATTCTCTACGTATAGAACAGGAAAAATATTTTAATCCTAAAAATTGAGTACGTTAAGAAATATGGATGCTGACTAGTCACAAGATCCAAAAAAATGTAGGAGGGCAAAACTTATGAACCAACCAGTCTATACTTACAAGAGAAAGATACTTGGTGACCGTGGCCACGTAATGACTTGTATATCAAAAAATCCGCTTTCAACGGGTTCGAATATTGTCTTCCATATCTGCGAATCGATAACTTGGGATGGAGTCATGATAATTTTTTCATGAATAAATTGCCCTTCTGCGGAGGGTCAAAATCGTCAATAAAAAACTTCCTTCCTTTTTTAGATGCTGAATATGATTTAGATAGGTATAAAACAACAGCAAAACGGGAACCTAGAAGAAATTTGGTGAATTTAACTACCCAAAAGTGCGCAAATTTTCTACGAAAAAAGTTCATAACTTCCTTCAGAAGTCGTTAACGTTCAGATATCCAGCACAGATTTAGAATCAGCGTTTTGAGATGCATCTCACGGCACACATTGCATTCCAAATGGCCACGGTCACCTTTCGTTGTTAGCCGTTACGACCAGCTATTGCCCTTCCCGTGTCTGAATGTAACATGCACATTAACGTGACACCCTTGGCACATAGTAAAAAACAATATCCACTCAAACAGAGTTTTTTCGAAGAAAGCATTCAGTTGTTAAAACACGTTTTTGATGTGTGTGATAATTGCTCAAAAGAGGCCCAAAATGGCGTCAAGGCAGATGAGCTATATTGAACAGATCGGCAACAATATAAGTAGGGATAACTGCTTCTAGCATGATAATAATCTATATATATATATATAAAACTCAAAAATTGTCAGTTTGGAGGGTATGTGCGTTATAGAAACGCGCGCCACTCAACCGATTCAGCTGAAACTTTGCACACATATGTTTTCGACCCTTGCGCAGATGATAGGCTACTTTTTGCGGCGATTCGTTGCGTCCTTCTATCGATTTATTGATTTGTTTACATTTTCCTAAGGAATTGAGGGGTTATCATGTTCAATCAAGCATTTTCCATACTCATGTAAAGGAGGGCGGTGAAGCTCATTTTCACCTCAGGATCACGAGGATGCGGTTTCCAAGCGGATGTCCCCGGGTAAGTCATCCATACCATATAGGGCGGGGGGAGGGGGGGGGGGATGGCTCGCAGTGCAGTGAACCATGGCCCGGGCTGAACCGGGAAAGCCAACTAGTAATATATATGTTTGCGGTTCCAATTCTAATACAGTGCTAACGACATTTAGTATGTATCAAGATTATCGCTGAAGCCAGTGTTAAATCATTAATATCCATTACTATTACTACCACTATGATGACAATAAGAAAAACAAAAACATCATTGAAGATGGTTTTTTGGAATAAACAGAGGACTGTTGAATGTTCGTTTATTGAATAAATAGAAAAACTCGATTTTATTTGCATGCAAGAAAAAACCCACAATCGACAATTTTTCCCGCTTCACGCTGCATTTAATATCAGTGAAAGAAAATGGTGCGTGATTACGTTGAATTCGGTTGTGATATACGGTCTGTGTCAACAGCGCATTTCCTTTTCCCTAATCGCAAATTTGAAGCTGGGTTCATACTGATTCCGCAGTTCCGAAACAGTCCCAGCACAGTTCTCGCACTGTGCTAGAACTACTCCGGAACTGTGCCGCATGCGCTGCAGCCGCCCGTAGTCCTTTTATCAGAAAAGGAACGCTGATCAAGAACGAACCAGCAAGCAGAGGGCTGCCAAAAGAAATGGGACTGAGACGTTCAAAAACCAAATCTCATCAAGACGCGAGAAATTTGCGGTCTCCGCAATCGTGAAGGTAGTATCAGTCCTCTCCGAAGACAGCTCGTGATATCGAGGACGCAGCGACATTCTGAATTACAATACCGCTCACATTTTTTGAAAAATAGACGCGACTGTATGGACATGTATGGACATGTACGGACATCAGCGTCGCGTGGCCATATCTCGCTTCAGAGTGGACGAACTCTGAATCCAAAGCCACCATTCGAATCAGCTCAGCGCGGAGAATCTTTTGATCTATTGGAAGTAGGGGTAAAATGTCTTCGATATTCCGTTTCCAGTTTTTTCAAATATTTCTGCGGAGGTCCTTTCGCGAATATGTGAAGCAATGCCTATCCAACATAGAAGACTTTACTGAGTATTATTTGATATTACTGTTCTTGTAGATTATTGTAAGCTAAAAAATAAGCTCAGACTTCTTTCCAAAGGAGATAGAAGCGTTGGTGAGTTTTGGAAAAATCACGCGTTCTTAAATTCTACTCGCCATAACTTCCTTCGGAATAAGTATATTTTGAATCCGAAAACAGCGCATTGCTCAGCTCATCAAGACGAATCTTTTTATGTACAGCATGTCCTTGATATTTCGATTTCAGTATTCTTGAATCTTTCTGAGGACGTCTTTTCGCGAAGGTGTAAAGCAGCGAGCATTGTCCCGAGTACATTCCAACAAGGATCTTTCGATAGTACTTTTTTCTGTAAATTAAGATGTGCTAAATAGTAGCCGCAGATTTCTTTTCAAAGGAAATAGAACGGCTGGTGAATTGTGGAAAAATCTTGTCGTCCCAAATTCTACTCGCCATAGCCCCAGGATACGAAGCTATTTTGCTAAGCAGATGTGAGTTTCGAAATCAGCAGGTCGAATAACCTCTACGAGCAAGTTTTCCGACATGTTCGGGTTATTTCATTTTTTCTCGTTTTACGCTCCGGAAGCTCGCCGATGGATTTTGTCAAAATGTTGATGCTCTTGAATTGTAAGGAAACTTCGCTTACAAAGGTTTTCGAACACGCTCTTTACGAAAATCGTGGTCTTTGAGTATTACAAAGTCTTTTTGGAGAGATAAGGTGAAGTGAATGTAACAGCATCACGAAAGTGCGTAACTTTGCCCGCACTTCTCGCGTATCTGTCAGGAAACTTGCCTGCTTGCTTTTCTAAGTCAAAGTTACTAGGAATTATGCTATCGAATAGTGTATGACTCAGGCTTCAGTCTGTAAACTTCGCCGAGTTACGAGCCTACGAAAACACGTCCTCATGCATTTTGCCCAAAATGTAAAGATCGCGTATTTCGTCGAAATTCCTCCGTGAGCGCTTGTATGACGCTCGTTGCAGATATTATGTTCGCTTCGTTCAACGACTCTCACCGTATTGAATATGGTGCTTGCGTGTGCTTCAGCTGCTCAATTGAATATCAAAACTATTTTGTGGCTAGAGCTCAAAGCACCAAATCTAACACAATAAGATCCATTAAAAATGTGGAAGGATTTGATCAGCTTGTTGTACAAGCCCTCACGGAGGAATTTCGACGAAATATGCGATCTTTACATTTTGGGCAAAATGCATGAGGACGTGTTTTCGTAGGCTCGTAACTCGGCGAAATTTACAGACTGAAGCCTGGGTCATACACCATTCGATAGCATAATTCCTAGTAACTTTCACTTAGAAAAGCAAGCAGGCAAGTTTTCTGACAGATACGCGAGAAGTGCGGGCAAAGTTACGCACTTTCGCGATGCAGTTACAGTCACCTCACCGTATCTCTCCAAAAAAGACCCTTAATACTCAAAGACACGCTTTTCGTAAAGAGCGTGTTCGAAAACCTCTATAAGCGAGTTTCCTTACAATTCAGGAGCATCAACATTTTGACCAAAATCCATCGGCGAGCTTCTGAAGCGTAAAACGAGAAAAAATGGAATAACCCGAACACATCGGAAAACTTGCTCGTAGAGGTTATCCGACCTGCTGATTTCGAAACTCACATCTGCTTAGCAAGATAGCTTCGTATCCTGCGGCTATGGCGAGTAGAATTTGGGACGACAAGATTTTTCCACAATTCAAGGGCCGTTCTATTTCCTTTGAAAAGAAATCTGCGGCTACTATTTAGCACATTATTATCTACAGAAAAACTACTGTCGAAAGATCCTTGTTGGAATGTACTCGGGACAATGCTCGCTGCTTTACACCTTCGCGAAAAGACGTCCTCAGCAAGATTCAAGAATACTGAAATCGAAATATCAAGGACATGCTGTACATAAAAAGATTCGTCTTGATGAGCTGAGCAATGCGCTGTTTTCGGATTCAAAATATACTTATTCCGAAGGAAGTTATGGCGAGTAGAATTTAAGAACGCGTGATTTTTCCAAAACTCACCAACGCTTCTATCTCCTTTGGAAAGAAGTCTGAGCTTATTTTTTTTAGCTTACAATAATCTACAAGAACAGTATTATCAAATAATACTCACAAGGGAAGCTACCTAACTTAGCTCGGCCTCTTGGCAAATGACATATATACTCCGAATCAGCTTCAAACGCTAATTCCAAATATGCTATTTCTAGCTGCCACGCACCATTCCGAAGCGAGTTATGGGCTTTTTCCTGCGCAAAATTGGCATGCTCATCGACTCAGTGGCATCAAGTACTCTGCGTTGATACCACTGCTT